TAATATTACCCACCTAATGGGGCTATTGTTGGTTTAAAAGAGATAAAGTTCCAAGCACATAGTAAGCATTCGAATGTTAGTTGCTGATATTGTCATTACTAAGTGCTTTTGTATAACTGTATAAACTCTTGAATGCAAAGAATATGGCTTCCTCATTGTGTACTCCCTAGAGACCTGGCGCAGTGCTTTATACACTGAATTATGAAAATAAAGTTGGGGCTCCATGACAAAAGGAAAATTATGAAACCATGTTTCCTGGAGATTTGAAAGACAGAGTCATCAATCTGCCAGGTTTGTTTCAGTGAACTTCTTTCTGAAGGCAGAGGCTTGCCTAAATCAGCCTTTATAAGGATGGTCACTTTATTGATAAGTATTTGGCTATGTAATATGTCAGTTCCTTCGGATTTCCCTATGGACTCCAGATCCTTTACTACTGAACTCACAGGGCTGTAACACTGATACTCTACAGAGAGGACCAGGACGATGCCAGCACCCCGTTGATCCTGAGTGAACTCTCTGGAGGCCTCGTCAAGCTTGTGGGTTCTCTGCTGTCTTGAAGCCATCCATCCATTTGACATGTTTTGCAAAGACTTGGTCCTGCCAAGATGGTTTTAATCATTTCAGCTAAAAGGAATGGACTCAAGGATTTCATCTCATTTTAGACGCAGTTGTCCTCAATTGGCCATTTTACGGCACTTGTAGTAAATATGGCCAGTGTATTTGGTCACTGTTAAATCAATCCTCATTCATTATCCGTCAGGGCAAGTCAGTGAAGTAAATACTGTGTTCTGACCTCTGGCACTCTTTCTCATGTTGTTTAAATATTTAATATTGTCCAAGGCAATTCAAGTATTTTCTTAAATAAAAAATATGAAAACTCTCATTCTTTTCCATTTCTTTGTTCTCTATGACAAATGCAAAGAAGTTGAAGAATCAAAATCCTTTCCATAATAAATTGCTCTTTAAAAACTCACATATCTAAGAAGGCTTTTGACTACCTCATCTTCTAAATGTTTTACTAAGGTAGGTAGTAAGCGGCAAAATGAACTTACTTGGCGCAGTCCCACCCTTACATGTACCACTTCAATACTTCACATAGTTTCTGCCTTCAGGGTTATCAGTAACTTTTTCCTGCCTTAAGTGCTATTGTGGAGAAAGAAATTATGACCCTGAACCAGGACACAGATTTTCTTTTTACAATAACATATATCTGTAGATTTTTTTTGAAAAACACAAAAATAATGTAGGAAACAAAAAGTTCCCTCCTCCTCAATCCACCTTCCAGAGATAACCATTGTTAACAGTTTATCGGGTGTTTTAACATTTTAACAGACATTTTACTGATCAGATTAACAAAAGCAAGATATTATCTATACCTGCCACTGCTTTTTTTTTGTTTTTTTTTTTTTTTTTGAGACAGGGTCTTGCCCTGTCACCCAGACTAGAGAAAGTACAATGGCACAATCCTAGGTCACTGCAGCCTCAAACTCCTGGGCTCAAGCAATTCACCCACCTCAGCCTCTCAAGTAGCTGGGACTACAGGTGCATGCTGCCACGGCCTGCTAATTTTTAAAAAAACAAATTTTTTTGTAGAGATGGGGGTCTCAGTATTTTGACCAGGCTCATCTCCCAGTCTCCTGCCTTGGCCTCCCAAAGTGCTGGGAGCCACCATGCCCAGTGGCTTTCTTTTTTGACTTAATTTGTGATGTAGATTTTTCTATGTCAGTAAATATAGCGCTTCCTCATTTTAAATGCATAGTATTCCATTTGATACATATCAAATATGTGTCTTCCCATTTTGATGTACATGAGGTTGCTTCCCGTTTTTTGTTATTGCAGATAATGCTGCTGTGAACTTAGGCCTTGGGTAACAAAACCTTCTCAAATGTCATAATAACCTGACATTCTAACTGAAGCATATCAACTATTAAAGGAATTCCAATTTTCAAAAGCACTGTGGTTAAACAATAGTGGCATTCTCTACGTTTAGAGAAAGAAACTAACAGTAAATTCATGTGTTATGTGCTTTCCCATATGTCATCTTAATCCTCTACCTGTGAAATAGAGTGGTGTTTTATAGACTACAAAACCAAGGATTAAAAGGCTGAACACCTTACTCCAGGTTCTGTAACTAGCAGCTGGTGAATATGGGTTTCACAGCCAGGCTCCCTGACTTCAGATCTAGGACTCCTGCTGTCCTGCATCGCCAGTGTGGCTGGTCTAAAGGGAATAAAAATAACTTGTCCTGCTTGCATGATTCCTTGGCTCAAACATGAGCAGCTAAATCTATGGTTTGCTTCTTCTGGATATGGAATGCAAACAACCATAAAAGGTGGTCCCTATTTAGAAACACTTTCCACTTTGTTGAAAGGAAAAAAAAAAATGTAAGAAAAACCTCCCACTTATTAAGTTGTTTGTGTCTAATCTTCCATCATGCCCCTCATTGTTGAGCTTTCTCTTTGTATTCATTGTTCACCGGTTTTTTGGTTTTGGTTTGGTTTTTGGCTGCTCACTGCAGCCTCGACCTCCTGGGCCACCATCCTCCCACCTCAGCCTCCCAAGTAGCTGGGACCACAGGTACACACCACCATTTGTGGCTAATTTTAAAATATTTTGTAGAGACAGGGTCTCACTTTGTTGCCCAGACTGGTCCTGAACTGGCCTCAAGCAGTCCTCCTGCCTCGACCTCCAAAGGTGCTGGGATTACAGGCGTGAGCCACCATGCCCCAGCCCATTGGTATTTTATAGTGCCGACTTCCTTGGTGGATGAAGCTAGATTGAGGGTATTGATTTTATTGGGGCCCTTTCAGGATTCCAGCACCCAGGGAAATTTTCCCAAACCAGCTGCTCCTCACCCCTACTCCCAAAGCACTTAAAACTCAACTGGATCCCCTCTACTGGACTGGTAGGAATTAATTGGTTATTGGAGTACTCTTAAGTTGTACAGAAGTTCATGGTTCGAACATTTGGAAGCTCCGCCCCACCCCCGCCGCCACCCACTAGTTGATCATCTGTCTACATGTTACTGCTGAGACATCAATTGTCGCAGGCTAAATAAGGCAGTAGTTTTACTGTGTTTGTCTCACACTTGGGGAATGATAAACTTTGGTGAGCTGGGAACTCCTGTGTCTGTGGACTCTTTCCAGAATGCACCAAGGACCCACTTTCTCTTAGAGATTGCCATCTTACCAAAGTATTGCCACCAAACATGGAACAAGTCTCTACTCCCTCTGATTTTTAGATCTCTGATTTTTTTTTTTTAATCTGTCTGGGAGAATATCTCCCCTTTGGCTTTCCTGAGAGGCATGTTTGCCTAGCACCATGGTCCCTTTGGTTTTTAAAAAAAAAAAAAAAAAAAAAAAAAGGCTCTTTCTTTTTGGAAAAATTGTTCCTTTCCTACCTCAGGTCACGTGGTTTCATGGAGCCGATTTCACCTTCTTGGCTTCAGAGCTCGACACAGAAGCCAGGCTTGGCCGGAGTCATCATGACAGATTCAGAAATTAGCATGGCATGTGACCAGCCTGGGACTTTGCTGGAACTCCTGGACAGAGGTGTTCTTCTCTTAGAGTTGCTCAGTTGTAGGGGAAAAGTTTGGCACTGCTGGCAGCCACACCTGAAGAACCTCCTGATCAAGCCATCCTAGAAGAAAGGAAGCTGAGAAAGGAAGACAGTTCTGTTAACATCACTTTAGCTTTTGGATCAAGTCATCCCTGAAGCCAGAACTATCCCTGGATTCTTGTGTTATTTAAGAAAATAAATTCCTTTTTTCCCTTAAACCAGTTTGAGTTGGGTTTCTGTCTCTTTTAACTGAAATAATCTTTACACTCCCACTTTCCTCATGACATTAAACACATTCCTCACCTCCCCTGCTTTGGCATGTCACTTTAATCTTTTCGTTAGCTTAGGCTTTTACAAAAGACAGAAAAAAGTTACTTCAGGCTACTGCTTCTCAACCCAACCCAAAGCACCTGCTCCTGGTTTGAAATGGAGGAAAGAAAGAAGGCAAAACAAATTAATATCTGAAAGATATATCCCACCATACTCCTGGGCAATGGGACCACGCTAGAGCTCCTAAATAAAAGACCAGAGATGAGTTGACCCTGATCCATTTCCAAGAGCCTACGGTAGGAGAAATGTCTGTTGTGCTCTGATGCTTTCCATGGGTGTCGTCATGATCTGCATCCTGAAGGGAGCCAAGAAACATGGTACCCACACAGCTTTCCTCTTGATGGGTCTTACAGCCTGAAAGGCTTACTCTGCTTTATCCACCTGGCAGAGATCTATTCAGAATGTGTGTTGTGTAGGCTCAAGTAGAAGAAAGCAGAAACAAAGAGTTTCCAGTGTTGGACTTTACTTCTATGCACAGTGTTGAAAACCCATATATCCAGGAAGCAAAGAAAGGTGTGAGGGTGGTAGATGACCTGCTTGGGGTTCCCGTGCCTAAAAGAAAAAAAGATGTCAAAATTAGCCAGCCCCTTCCACCCAAAATTTCCAACCAAGATGGGCACAAGGACCCTCATCTCTTGTTCACAGAGTAGCCATTTGTTGCTCACAGCCCCTTGGGACCTCCTTACCTCTTTCTGATCTTCCTCATTTTCTGCCTTATTGGTGCTGGCCACATAACAAATGCTGTGGACTTATACATGGTGTTCTCAACCCCGGTGACCGGTGGTTAATAAGAAGTTTCTATTTTGAGCATGTTGGTTGTTTCTGACCTGGCCTATAGGCATGGCTGCTGGGGCCAACATCTGAAGGGTGTTCCCTACCATATGATGACTACCACAGGTGGCATATGTTCTTTATTTTTGAGACAGGGTCTTGCTCTGTAGCCCAGGCTGGAGTGCAGTGGTGCGATCATAGCTCACTGTAACCTTGAACTCTTGGGCTCAAGCAGTCCTCCCACCTCAGCCTTCCAAGTAGCTGGGACTACAGGTACAAGCCACTGCACCTGACTAATTTTTATTTTATTTTATTTTTGTAGAGACGGAGTCTCACTGTGTTGCCCAAGCTGATCTCAAATTCCTGGCGTCAAGCAATCCTCCCGCCTCAACCTCCTAAAGTGCTGGGATTACAGACATGAGCCACCGCCCAACCTTATGTTCTAACTGATAAAAGTTCATAAAACTTATAAAACTCTCAGAAAGTGGAAACCGATTTGAGAAATGTCCTAGATTCAAAAAACTAACTACAGATCCTTTAGCAGCTTGCAAGTTGGTTGACTTCGGAGACATTAATTACTTTGTCTCTCTTGACCGCTATAAAAGAAGGGTTTAGAGAGGTTCCCAGCTATGGGCCAAGAACTAATTACATCATAATCACCTGGGGCCATTGTTAAAAATGCGCATTCCCACACCTTTTCACAGTTCTGAATCAATCTCCTGAATGGGAATGTTTTCTTAGCAAACAATCCAGGTGATTCTCATGGGCACCCGGGCTTAGGAACTACTGTGACAGATGATCTCTTCTGATGCAAAGAGGTCACTGAGCTTGGCTGTATTAGCCAGGTTTAGGTGGGGCTGGACCGGGTAGGGACAGGGGACTGTCTGACCTCTCCCAAGGATTGTGTTCAGGGAACCCAAGGGAATCTGAGGAGGAAGAGAAAGTTACCACCTTTGCCACACGTGGCAGAGTTCTCTGGAAACTTTCCTCCGTTCCTACCACAGGAAGGCCACAGGCACCAGGGCTTTACTGGCCTAAACCATAGTTCTGTGCTGACTGAGAGGTTCTGAAATTTGAAAAAAGGTCTAAATCCTGCTTCCAGGTTTTTGTGAAGGTGGGGAAAAGCAGAGTGACCTGGGAGAAGTGGTTATCAACAACACAGCGGTGACTTCTTCCCTGGAGTGAGGAAGGTTTTCCCTTTCCCTGCCCCGAGCTGCAGTGGTGCAGTCTGTTACCTTGGAGACCAGCTAACACATTCCCACAGGGCAAGCTTCACTGCTGAGTTGCTTGGAGGAGCTTGGAGAAACCAGAAGTGAGATCTAGGAGAAGCAAGGCCCTGGAGTGCCAGGAACCCTTCTCCTAAAGATGGAGAAGTAAATGAAGAAATACAGGTGAGGGTGAGCGTCACAAGGGTTGACAGGGGTGGTGACAGAGGGGGTGGGGGAGGCCAGATGCTAAGCTCTGGACTGAGTGACAAGATTGAGGTAGCCTAGGGTGTGAAGCATCCACTCCCTACATGCTGAGCATTGGGCTAAATGCTGGGGTTGCCAGTAGACAAGGAAGTCATGGAGCCGGTCTGGGAGACAGGCCATGACAACTCCATATGACAAAGTGAAGGGACAGCAACAGGAGGACTTCCACAGGAGGAGTGGTTTCCTCCCTGGGGGATTGGGGACAGTGAATGGGGTTCAGGAAAGACTCCTATTATTATTATTATTATTTTCACCCAATAATCAAGGTTCCCTCTCTCCCTTGGACCATAATGCCATCTGCCATGGACTGGTTTGTTCTTTTCCTCTCCTGCAATCACCCCCCAGTGTAATTCAGCTCACCTTTGCCTAAACTCTAGACCTGCTCTGAATGCATTTATTCAACAAATGTTTTTTGAGCAGCTACTATGTTCTAGACTCTATTTTATGCAAAAATATCCTAGCAGTGAACATTACTGTCCTGGCCCAAATGGATCTACTTCTAGTATGTTTATGTGGGAGGGGTGCGCAGAGGTTCAAACAGTAAGTAACTAAATATAGAGAAATTATAAAACAAGTAAATAAGTAAATATATAGAACGTATTTACTTGTAAGTAAATAAGTGAATATATATAGTGAAACATGCTGTGGGGAAAGATAAAGGCAGGTGGAGGAGGTGCCGTTTGAGTTAAAGTACTCACAGAAGACCTCTCTAATAAGATTTCATTTGAGCAAAGGCCTAAGGGAAAGAGCTGCGTCCTGTTCATGTCTATCTCCCCAACACCTGTTCTCTCTGGCACGCAGTGAGTGCTCTATAAATGTTCATGAAACACATGATTGTTTTCATGTCATATGCTGAAGTGCTTGAAGATGCAGCCCACATTTTATGGTATTCTACTTTTTTTTTTTTGAGACAGAGTCTTGCTCTATCACCCAGGCTGGAGTGCAGTGGCGCAATCTCAGCTCACTGCAAGCTCCACCTCCTGGGTTCACGCCATTCTCCTGCCTCAGCCTCCCAAGTAGCTGGGACTACAGGCACCTGCCACTACGCCTGGCTAATTTTTTTTGTATTTTTAGTAGAGACAGGATTTCACCACGTTAGCCAGGATGGTCTCAATCTCCTGACCTTGTGATCCACCCGCCTCGGCCTCCCAAAGTGCTGGGATTACAGGCATGAGCCACCGCGCCCAGCCGGCATTCTGCATTTTTATAGTACTTCGTATTTCACAAAGCACTTCTATTTTCTCAATTTCATTTGATCCTCTTGATAACGGTGTTGAAGTAGGCAAGTCAGTTACTGCTGTCCCCATTCCATTCTGAAGATGAAGAAACCAAAGGTTCAGCACTTTTGTTGTTGTTGTTGTTGTTTGTTTTTTTGTTTGTTTAAGACAGAGTCTCACTCCATCACCCAGGCTGGAATGCAGCGATGAGATCACAGCTCATGGCAGCCTCAAACTCCTGGGCTCAAGTGACCCTCCCACTCCATCCTCCCCGGTGGCTGGGACTACAGGTGCACATCACCATGCCCAGCTAATTTTTTTTTTTTTTTAATGTACGGACAGAGTCTCGTTATGTTGGTCAGGCTAGTCTCAAACTCCTGGGCTCAAGCAATCTCCCTGCCTCAGCTTCCCAATGTGCTGGGATTGCAGGCATGAGCCATTGCACCCAGCCCCATGCTCTTTCTGGAGCACTATTTTGTTTTGTTATTTTCATGCATTTCAACCCCTTCTCCATCAGCCTGCACCAGTCACCCCAGAATCTAGTCGTGCAGTCCTCTGAATTCATTAAGAGCTGTTAATCACTGACTGGAAAGAGGGAAGTGAGACACTACGGGGCGGCCAGTGTTCATGAGGCATTTCTATTTCAACAGTCTCTGCCATTAGAGTCTCCCAGGACAGCTTGCTGAAGTAAAGCCGTGTGTGTGTGTGTGTGTGTGTGTGTGTGTGTGTGTGTGTGTGTGTTTTAAAGCATTGCCACATTATCATGGTGCTTCCCAGAAAACAAAGCATCCTCTGAATAAAAGATTAAAGACCTGAAAGAGAAAAGCAAGTTGCCAAACCATTATTAGGCTGTGTAATTTAATGATTTCACAAGAACACACACTCTAATGTTTAAGCTGCAACTTTATTCAGAGTCTCTCACTTGCTGTGTCTTAGCTGGTTTTTGGTTTTTTGGTTGCAAATAACAGAAAGCTAAAGGAGCTAGCTGAAGCAAAAAAAGGTAGATAATTCTAAGAAACAGTATCTCATGGGTATCTCATGGAACCCAAGAGCAGAAAGTTAGGTCTCACACGTGCCTGGCATATATAATTAGAAATTCAAGAACCAAGGCAGGTTGGGCATGGTGGCTCACGCCTGTAATCTCAGCACTTTGGGAGGCCAAGGCAGGTGGATCACGAGGTCAAGAGTTTGAGAATAGCCTGGCCAACATGGTGAAACCCCGTCTCTACTAAAACTACAAAAATTAGCTGGGCATGGTAGTAGGCACCTGTAATCCCAGCTATGTGGGAGGCTGAGGCAGGAAAATCACTTGAATCCAGGAGGTGGAGTTTGCAGTGAGCCGAGATCACGCCACTGCACTCCAGCCTGGGGGACAAGAGCAAGACTCCGTCTCAAAAAAAAAAAAAAGAACCAAGGGAGTTTTTCAACCTCCTGGCCCTTCACCTTCCCTTCTCAAAATATTTATCAAGTGTCTGCCAGTCCCTGCTCTAATGTAACTTACAGTGTAAGGGGAGAGACACACAAATTTTTAAAAATCCCACTAATGAATATATCATTCCAAATTAAGATACCTGCCCTAAAAGAGCATAGTTCTATGAAAGTCTGTATAAAACAAAGGAAACCGAAATAGAATGGGATGTTGGCGATTTCCTGGAGGAAATGGTATCTGAGCTAAAATGTCAAGATGATTAGGGTAGGGGAGAAGGAGAAGAATGTTCCAGAGCAAAGAAGCAGCACATGAAAAGGCCCTGTGGTTAAAGGAACTAGAGAATTCCAAGAACTGGAAAGGGAGGCCCTTGTGGAACACAGAGGGGAGCAGTGGTGAAGTGGGAAATCTAGAGGCGTAGGTGGGAGCAGCCAGACCTTGAGGATCCTCAGCTGTCATCTGAAGGATCTCAGTCTTCATCCTAGAAATAGAGAAGGCTTTGATCAGTTTTAAGCAGGAGGGAGAAAAGGGGGTGTAACATTGGATTTAGGTGTGGATTTTTGTTTATTTTTTAGAGACAGAATGTCCCTCTGTCGCCCAGGATTGAGTGCAGTGGCATGATCATAGCTCACTGCAGCCTTAAACTCCTGAGCTCAAGCAATCCTCCTGCCTCAGCCTCCCAAGTAGATGGGACTACAGGCACATGCCACCACACCTGGCAAATATATCTTTATTTAGTTTATAGAGATGGGGTCTCGCTGGGTTGCCCAGGCTGGTCTTGAACTCCTGGCCTCAAGTGACCTCCTGCCTCAGCCTGCCTCCCAGAGTGCTGGGATTATAGGTGTAAGCTACCGTGCCTGTCCCCTTGATTACTTCCTATCACATACTTTTAGTTCCTTCAGCACTTTCCACAATTTGTAATTATTTTATTTAGTTTTTTAATATCAGTCTCCCCCTGTAGAATATAAGCGCTGGGAGGACAAGGACAATGTCTATCTTAGTGGTTCATAACTAGGGACAATTTTGCTGTCCATGAGGTATTAAGCAATGTCTGGAAACATTTCTGATTGTCACATTGGGAAAAAGTGCGGAGGGATGCTACTGATATCTAATAGGTAGAGGCCAGGATGCTGCTAAACATCCTACAATGCATAGGACGGCCCCCACAGCAAAGAATGATCCGGTCCAAGAGTTAAAGTGTTGAAGTTGAGAAAGCTTTATCTTGTTCACCATTGTATCCTCAGCACCAGGCACAATGCCTGATACCTGGTAGGTGTTCAATAAGTATTTACTGAATGAATTAATTAAAGAAGGGTTGGCTGGGCACAATGGCTCACTCTTATAATCCCATGACTTAGGGAGGCTGAGGAGGATCTCTTGAGGCCAGGAGTTCGAGGCTGCTAGGTTATGTTAGCACTACATTACTTCAGCCTTGGTGACAAAGCAAGACCTTGTCCATAAAATTTTTAAAAATGGCCAGGCATGATGACTCACACCTCTAATCCCAGCCTAGGTGGGAGGATCACTTGAGCCCAAGAGTTCGAGACCATTGGAAGCAACATAGTGAGACCCCATCTCTACAATAAACAGAAAAAAATAGCTGGGCATGGTGGCTTGTGCCTGTAGTCCCAGCTACTTGGGAGGCTGAGGTGGGAGGATTGCTTGAGCCTGGGAGGTCAAGGCTATAGTGAGCCATGACTGGGCCACTGTACTCCAGCCAGGGCAACTGAGTGAGACCTTATCTCAAAAAAAAAAATTAATTTAAAAATGTAGAAAAGCATTGTGCTGAATATAGATACCCCCCAAAAGTATTGTCTGTATGCCACATTTATCCTGTTTTCTGGTATTCTTTCCTTCTTTAGGAAAATAAGCATTGGGTGTTTTGCAATGGCTACACAAACTAGTCATGTCTTCCATGGCCAAGAAAATATGTTTCTGGAAAACCATTGGTAAGCATAGTTCTCTGATTTTGCAAATGAAAACAGCAACAGCATTTTGTTCATGGGAGCTGAGGGTGAGACTGGGTCACTGATCTTCTTAGAGTCACCTGAGGGCTTTAGTTATCTAAATAATAAAATATCTCATGGAACTGGAGTCCACATTTTATCAGGACTACAGGAACCCTTCTCAGTTACTGCACAGAAAAATGTTTCTAGAATCCTTGTAGGGATTAAGGCAAAGAGAGGAGGCACTGGGGATGTCAAACCAATCAATGCCCAGTGCACAGGCATTCATCAAATTACTTTATGTTTTGTAGCATTAGGAGAAACACTGGCAGAGATTCAAAGAAGTCACTAAAGCAGAAGAATGTGAATGGACTTGGTCAGAATTCAGACAATGGATTACTGGTTACACACGTTAACCAGACACAGGACTTACTGGTAAAGACCATGTCACTTTAACTGGGTCGTGATACTACAAATCATTCAGGGAATGCAGAATGTGCTAAATTCTGGGGATTTCTTCCTTCTCATAGGATTCTAGGACTGAAAAAGATTAATTAAGCATTTATCTCTAATCCTCTGCCTTTAGAAATGACTGAAGAATCTCTGTTTATATAGAAATTGTATAGCCTATTTGGCCATGTCACTAAATATTCAGGAGCATGTGAAGACTCTGATCATGCTATCAAGGCCTGAAGTCTTAAGCATTTGATTCTAAAATTCCCCTTCCTGAGATTTGCTTTGCTTTTGAGATTCCCTGAAATCTAGATTCAGAAATCCATTTCAGGAAGTGCTGTTGGACAAATGGGGCATAATAGTTGAATAAACCTCTAACCAGACTACGATTTTAGGCTGACCTTCAATGGGCCTTCCCAAGAGGATGAGTGGATTGTCTAGAACTCAGAATTCATTCTAACAGGGACACACTGGCAATCAGTGGTTGCCATGTTCAAGCAAGGCTAGTGCACAACCATGTACCTAACCCACACTAGAGTTTAAATATGATACCTTTGAAATGACAGTCAAAAACAATCCAGTTATAATGCTGGCAATTAAACAATCAGAAAAATACTCATGATTTACTTAGGTTCTGGCACTTACAGGAAAGCAAGTTTAATTACAGGAGATGAGGAAAGGTTGATAGAGTTTTGAGATTCTGAAGAAGTCTTGTAATGAGTTCAGATGTTGATGACATGCATCTTTCCTCTAATTTTATATCAAAATGCATGACTTCCCAGGTGTACACAGGATCATTCTTATATTTATCAGCCACAGCTGGGGCCTCCTTTGCCTTGCAGATGAACCTGAAGGAAAGAGGGAAAGGATTGCTCCAACACAAAGATCTTACCATTCTCTATGCAAATGAACTAGTTGAGTTACATAATCAGCATGGCCTAAAGTCAGAATCCATAATGTGTTTAATAGTGTGTCTTCAAGTATGAATAATACAAAATCTGTGTCCTAAAATGTGACATTATTTCAAAAGCAACACAGATGGAAGAAAGGTGAATTATTAAGTCCACCATGCTCACCAGGCACAGTGGTTCACATCTGTAATCTCAGCACTTTGGGAGGCCTAGATGGGAGGATCGCTTGAGTCTAGAAGTTTGAGGCCAGCCTGGGCAACATGGTGAAACCCTGTTTCCACCAAAAAAAAAAAAACAAAAAAAACACAAATTAGCGAGGTATGGTGGCACATGCCTATAGTCCCAGCTACTTAGGAGGCCAAGGAAAGAGGATCACTTGAGCCTGGGAGGCTGAGGCTGCAATGAGCTGAGATTTTGGCAGTGAGCTGAGATTGTGGCACTGCACTCTTGCTTGGGCAATAAAATGAGACCCTGTCTCAAAAGAAAAAAAAAAAAATGTCTACCATGCTCAGTGTTTCCAACCAGGGAGAAGGTTGAGTCTGAAAGGTGAAAAGAGTGACATCTAGTGTCCATGTGATAGAGAGCTGTGTTTCCCTAGATATGCGACAGAGACCTACGATTTTAGGTGGTGCCTTTCCAGGGCAGGACATTTGTTAGCATAGAATCACACAATGAAAAAGTAATCTGACCCCTCAGTCCTCTCACTCCTTCATGGAGATGGTCACAGTTTGGTGCTCGTTTAGAGGGACAACATAGTACCATGGTTAGAAGCATGACTTGAGCTTCACAGCCTGGGTTTGAATTCCACATCTGCCACTTTCTAGCTGCATGACCCTGGACTGATTGCCTAAATTATCTGTACCTCAGTTCCCTGGTCAGCAAGATGGGGTTATCATAATGGAACCTACTTTGTAAAATTAAATGAGTTAATGTATGGAAAGTGCTTAACATGTAATAAGTGCTATCTAAGTATTTGCAGTAATTATAAGAGTGTTTTTCACACTTCTTCAACACTTGCTAATTTCCCTTTGAGACAGAGGGCAGAGCAGACCTCAGGCACAGAACTTAAGGCAAGGTCACTTGAGCCCAGAACTTCGAAGCTGCAGTGAGCTATGATCACACCGCTGCACTCCAGCCTGGGTGACAGAGCGAGTCCCTGTCTCTAAAACAGACAAACCAGGGGGCCAGGTATGGTAGCTCATGCCTGTAATCCCAGCACTTTGGGAGGCCAAGGCTGGTGGATCACTTGAGGTCAGGAGTTTGAGACCAGCCTGGCCAAAATGCCAAAACCCTGTCTCTACTAAAAAGACAAAAATTAGCTGAGCGTGGTGGCACATGCCTGTAATCCCAGCTACTTGGAAGGCTGAGGCAGGAGAATCACTTGAACCCGAGAGGCAGAAAGGTTGCAGTGAGCCAAGATCATACCACTGCACTCCAGCCTTGGTGACAACAGTGAAACTCCGTCTCAAAAAAAAAAAAAAAAAAAAAAAGATAGGATCAGTCTGAGTTGGCCCCCATTGGGTATCTGTGTGAAGGGAACCTCTTCCCTCTCTTTCTACTTCTCTGTTTGATTCTGGTTTTTATCTTGCAGAGGCTGCAGGCGAGCGAGACCCAGTCTTCAGATTGGGAGGACTCTGAAGACTGGCTTTCGGCTCACAGTTTAAAGTGTCAGAAGCTCACCTTGGCTGACCTGATAAGCCAGGGCACAGAAGTGCTGTAAGTCTGAAGCTGTTCCCCACAACCCCCACAGCTGCAGCAACACATGCAGCCCCCTGGGCCCGAGAGACCCCCTCATAAGGCTTTGCTTCTTCAGGGAGGAGGACACCAATGTTGTGCAGAAAATACGTTTCTCTACCCAGATCATCCGCCACTTTGAGTCAAAGCTTTCTGAGTAAGTATGTTTCTTAGCATCCTCCCAACACCACGGAGCTCAAGAATTATGTCATTTCAGTCTGGTCATGGTGGCTCATGCCTCTAATCCCAGTACTTTGGGAGGCCGAGGCAGGTGGATCACTTGAGGTCAAGAGTTTGAAGCCAGACTGGCCAACGTGGTGAAATCCTGTCTCTACTAAAAATATATATTTTTTAAATTAGCCAGTCCTGGTGGCACATGCCTGTAATCCCAGCTACTCAGTAGGCTGAGGCAGGAGAATTGCTTGAACTCAGGAGGTGGAGGTTGCAGTGAGCCGAGATCACGCCATTGCACTCCAGCCTGGGCAACAAAAGCATAACTCTGTAAAAAAAAAAAAAAAAAGAAAGGAAAAAAAAAAAACAGAAATATGTCATTTCAGTAGCCTGGAAGTTACTGTTCAAACAGCAACATCTGTGAGACCTTGGGCAATAGAGTGGGACCCTATCTCAAAAAAAAAAAAAAAAAAAAAAAGTCTACCACCCAGGGAGATGGGCAGGTCTCTTCCCACTTCTATCCCCAATTTCCTCTTTTCTCAAATAGAAAGATTGGACCAGATCAATGTCTCTCAGCCTTTTCAAATCCATAGTCTAGGGCCAGGCATGGTGGGCCATGCCTATAATCCTAGCGCTTTGAGAGATGAAGTTGGGAGGATCACTTGAGCCCAGAAGTTCGAGGCTGCAGTGAGCTATGATCACACCACTGCACTCCAGCCTGGGCAACAGAATAAGACCCTATCTCTAAAAAAATATAAACAGAAATCCATAGTCCCTTGGATGACACAGCTTCATGTGGTGTTTAATGGTTAAGAGTAATGACTTTCAATGTCAAATTGATTGCGTTCATACCTTTGCAAATATATGGCAAAAACGTGCATGCATCCCCACTCCTAAACCAGATTTTGATAGCACATGTGTATTAGTCCATTTTCATGCTGCTGATAAAGACATACCCGAGACTAGGCAATTTACAGAAGAAAGAGGTTTAATGGACCCACAGTTCCACATGATTCATGGCAGAAGATGAAGGAAGACCAAAGGGACATCTTACAAGGCAGCCAGCAAAGAAAGAATGAGAATCAAGAGAAAGGGGTTTCCCCTTATAAAATCATTACTCTCAAGCCAGTTAACCAGAAGTTGATTGCTGAATGGCCATTCATGGAATGACCAATTGCTTAAATTTCTCAAAACCATTGAACTGTAGAATTTATAGTAACTTTTATTAGGTTGGAAACTGAAACAGGTTTTAAAGAATTCTGCAATATTTTGGTTTATCAGTTTTAATTGTGAATCCAGCATTTTAAGGAATGTTCAAGTCTATTTAGCTAATTGGTCATTTGGCAAATTGATTTTCAGAGGATTGGCTTTCAGTAAATTGACTTTTAGCAAATTGAAGGTAACAAATCCTGTTGTTACCTTCATGTTGGAGATGGTGAAACTGGGGCTCAGAAAGGTTACCACACCTGTCCAAGGTCACACAGCTAGTAGATGGCAAAGCTGGATCTTGAACACAAACATGTTTTATTATAAAGTTCATCTTCAGCTGGGCACCGTGGCTCACGCCTGTATTCGCAACACTTTGGAAGGTCGAGGTGGCAGGATCGCTTGAGTTCAGGAGTTCGAGACCAGCCTAGGAAAAATGATGAACCCCCAACTCTACAGAAAATATAAAAATTAGCCAGTTGTGATGGTGTGCATCTATAGTTCCAGCTACTTAAAGGCTAAGATGAGAGGATCACCTGAGCCAAGGGAGGTTGAAGCTGCAGTGAGCCATGATCGTACCACTGCACTCCAGCCTGGGCAACAGAATGAGACCCTGTCTCAAATAAAAAGAAGAAGAAGATAAAAATAAAACTCATCCTCTTAGCTCTATTCATAACTCATGTATCCCTTATGACTCTATCTACCACCCACTACCCCATGATCTCATTTCCAAAGACCTCTTTTGTCCCTCTCTAGGCCCCCAAATCTCACCTGCCCCCAGCGAGGACAAGTCAATTAAATTCAAGTGACTGAGTCCTTACCTTGTGCACATGATATATGCTAGTCTCCAGCCAGGCATGCAATAAGGCAACTTCCAGAAGGTCCCCCAGCTACTTTTCAGAAACTAGGTTTTTTGTTAATCAATCCAGTGGAAATGATTACTTAACTGCCTCTGTTGTGCCTTTATGATCAGTTTCCAGGAGACTAGGAACAATTTCTTCTGAGAAGCCACAGATTCGAGCAAGTGGAAGGGTGGTCTTCCAACTTTCTCATAAGAACACCCTCCCCCATCCTCCACAGACCTGTCCACACCGGGCAGAATGAGCACAGAGTGAGCTACGTGGAGAAAGGAGACGAGGTTAGATGAGCAGGTTGAAGTCCGGGAGGGCCTGATTCCACCGCTTGATCCACCAAACCATTGTCATTTATCCTGTGCACTGTGTTACCAGTAGAGCGGCACCTATAAACTCGATCCCTTTTGCAATCCCCTTATACCTAGTGCCCTGGCAAACCAAGTATCTTCAGTTTTGTCTTTGCTTGATTTTGCCCAGGCTTGAGTGCAGTGGAACAATCATAACTCCATGCAGCCTTGAACTCCTGGGCTCAAGTGATCCTCCCACCTCAGCCTCCTGAGTAGCTGGGACTACAGGCATGCACCACCATCTCCAGCAAATTTTTGTATTTTTTGTAGAGACAGGGTTTCACTAGGTTGTTCAAGCTGGTCTTGAACTCCTGGCCTCAAGTGATCAAGTCAGCCTCCTGAGTAGCCAGGACTACAGGCGTGCACTACAGTGCACTTAAAATGTTCACCACCTTCTTCGAAGACCTTATGCACATTTAAAAAAAAAAAATATTCATACTTGGCTTTTGTGTATGTAAGTGGCTGTTGTTGCTCAGTGAGGATACTGACCTTGGGTGATGAGTCTTTCTGATGTCTTGACAGCACTATTGAAGTCTATCAAGAGAGAATTCAGTGGCTAACAGAAAACAGCAAGAAGGTAACGGGTGTAGGTTTAATTCTTTGCCCCCTTTCACTCATTCCATCTGTATTTGTTAGAGCCCTTTCAGTTGCAAATGATAGACCTCCAATGTAAATTGGCTTAAGCTAAAAAAGGCATTTACTAACCTACATAAATGAAAACCCAAGCCACAGCTGGATCCAGGTGCTCAGATGATGTCACCTCTAGGCTTGTGGGCTCTGCTTTCCTCTGAGTTGGTTTTATTCTCGGGACATCTCTCTTCAGGCGTAGGAAGGTGGTGATCAGTAGCTCCAGTAGAAAGGAACCTCACTTCCTGTTCCCTGCACAATTTCCAATTCCTGGGATTAACTCCCATTGACCAATTTACACCAATCAACATAGCCAAGGAGATGAAATATACTATCTGACTAGGCCTGGAACTAGTGCTCACTTCTGGGGCAAAAAAAAAAAAAAAAAAAAGACATGGGGGAAGGGGAAAGAGACTGGGGGTTAGCCCCCCCAGCCCTCATGGACTGAGAAAGGGAGACAGATGGTTGCATGTGGAAGTCCAGAGCACTGTTACCAGAAGGCGGAACGGGTGCTGGGCAGGTGAGAATGCAGATGTGCACTAGGCATTTAACTTCAGACCCACAATGAGATTTAGAAGACTAAGACTGATCATCTGGATATCACTTTTCTTAAAAGTTTGATTAAGGGCTGGGCGTAGTGGCTTATGCCTGTAATCCCCACACATTGGGAGGCCTAGGTAGGTGGATCACCTGAGGTCAGGAGTTCAAGACCAGCCTGGCCAACGTGGTGAAACCTTGTCTCTGCTAAAAATACAAAAAATTAGCCAGGCATGGTCATGCATGCCTGTAATCCCAGCTATGCTGGAGGCTGAGGCAGGAAAATTGCTTGAACACAGGAGGTGGAGGTTGCAGTGAGCCGAGATCACGCCATTGCACTCTAGCCTGGGCGACACAGTGAGACTCTGTCTCAAAAACAAACAAAAAAACAAACAAACAAAAAAACCGCAAAAATTTGATTAAGAGCTAGGCGTAGTGGTGCACACCTGTAGTCCCAGCTACTTGAGAGGCTGAGGCAGGAGGATTTCTTGAGCCCAGGAGGCTCAAGGCTGCAGTGAGCTATGATTGGGCCACTGCACTCCAGCCTGGGTGACAGAGCAAGACCTGTCTTTAAAAAAAAAATTTTTTTAATTAAATGTTTTTCTCAGAACCCAAGGGTAAATGAGTGATCATGGGCAAATTAACCTTTGATTTGCTTTCTTATTTGTTTTAGCTCAATTGCCATCAACTGGCACTTTTCTGGCTTCCCGTTTGCTTCCACCCTTAGGCACAATCTTCAACTCTTGCTTTAAACCCTGGGAAAAGCAGATGCTGAAAGTCATGCTCCCTACTCCCAATCCCCACCTCTACCCAGGACAGTGGGTAACAACATAGTGCTAAGCCTGTCTGTCCCGCCAATTCCAGGGTGTGGTCTACACCTCAGATCCAGAACCTCCTTCACTTGCTTGGACAAGTTGAGTAAGCAGATGCTTGTCTGCGGCTATAGCTGGACCCCTCTGGTTGCCCATGGTAACAGGCAGACCCCAGAGGAATGAAATCCTCCCATACTCTGTAGGCATCCACGTAGCACATGCTGCTCTTACCGACCCACCCCCATCACCCCATCCTGGCACCTTTGTCAAAGTTGGCGGGGATCGATAGCCCCTTCTTCCTGCCACCCCTTTCTGACAGAGCTACAGAGAAACCATGGAAGAGCCCAGGGAAGCGATCACCTGTGAATCAGCTCACCGGCTCCCTGGGTGTTGAGGCAGGCAGCCTGATATGATGGCCAGATAATCGCTGGTCACCATTCCTGTTCTGCTCTCTCACTAAGGCCCTAGAAAGTGGCCTCGCTTCTCTGGATCTGTGTCTGCAGAGGATAAAAGGAGAAGTTATAAACTAGTGGCATGCAGGCCAAATCTGGCCCACAGCCATGCTGTTCCGGGCTCCCTAGTTTTAAATATTTTTCAAATTAGTTGCCAAGATTTTTAAAATCCTGATATTTCACTTTCATGTCTGCTATCAGACTTCTCTTGAAAAATGAGAATATCTGGTATTACCCGGCTCCAATTTCCTCTTACATACTTGTCCAGTTATTTCTATGGAATAAATGTCTAGAACTTCAATGGCTAGGTTTAGGGAATGAATGTTTTCAATTCCAAAAGCTGTAAAGTCCTCATGGCAGCTTGTTTTTAATTTAAAAGAAATAGAACTGGCTCTAGATTTCAACTTCTTGCCTCCAGACTGGCAATACCCTAGAAAGCCTTGTGCCATATTTGGGTCATGAATTCAGCAAACACATATTGAGTCATTGTATAACAGACACTGTTCTAGGATTGAGACTACCAACATGACCAGTACTTGCTAAAGGAATGGTTCACTGGGGGGAAAAAACCATGACTAATACTAAGGTCCTGTCTTCATGGAGCTTAGTGCTGTAAAAAGAAACAAAGCTGAGTAAGGGAACCGAGAGTGGAACAGAAGGCCTATTTAAATGGAATGGTTGAGGCCAGACATGGTGGTGCACACCTGTAATCCCAGCATTTTGGGAGGCCAAGGCAGGCGGATCACTTGAGGTCAGTAGTTTGAGACCAGCCTGGCCAAAATGCTGAAACCCCGTCTCTACTAAAACCACAAAAATTAACCAGGCGTGGTGGTGGGCGCCTGTAATCCCAGCTACTCGAGAGGCTAAAGCAGGAGAATTGCTTGAACCCAGGAGGCAGAGTTGCAGTGAGCTGAAATCATGCCACTCCACTCCAGCCTGGGAGACAGAGTGAGACTCCCTCTTAAAAATAAAATAAAAAGGCCGAGCACGGTGGCTCAAGCCTGTAATCCCAGCACTTTGGGAGGCCGAGACGTGCGGATCACGAGGTCAGGAGATCGAGACCACCCTGGCTGACACAGTGAAACCCCGTCTCTACTAAAAAAATACAAAAAAATAGCCGGGCGAGGTGGCGGGCGCCTGTAGTCCCAGCTACTCAGGAGGCTGAGGCAGGAGAATGGCGTGAACCCGGGAGGCGGAGCTTGCAGTGAGCTGAGATCCGGCCACTGCACTCCAGCCTGGGTGACAGAGCAAGACTCCGTCTCAAAAAAAAAAAAAATTAATTAATTAATTAAAAAATAAAATAAAAAATAAATAAATGGAATGGTTGAGGATACTCTGAAGAGGAGACGATTGAAAAGGCACCTAAAGAAAGTGCAGAGGTGAGCCCTGCCAATATTTTGGGGAGAATGTCCCAAGCAGAGGAGACAGCAAGTCCAAAAGTCTTGAGGCAGGAACGAGTTTGGTATGTTCCAGAAGCAGCACATGGGCCAGTGCAGCAAGCACAGAGTGAGCTATGTGGAGAAAGGAGACAAGGTTAGATGAGCAGGTTGAAGTCCAGGAGGGCCTGATTCCAAAGATGAAGGCTTTAATAAAGCCGGGGAGTGACCTGATCTGACAAGTTTCAAAAGAATCACACTGGCTGCTGCATAACTTGACTGTACAGGGGGTAAAAGTGGAAACAGGACAACTGCGCTGGGTGAGAACGATGGAGGCTTAGACTCAAGCTCTAGGGTCGACAGAATGAGATATGGTAGATTCAACGCACAACTGGAAGGTAGGACCAGCAGAACTTGCCGATGGATTAGATAGGTTTGGGGCCAGAGCACCTGGGCCAGTGTTGAATGGCATTTACTGAGATGGGGAAGGCTGAGGGAGAAACAGACTTGAGAAGGAAAACCAAGAGGTCTTGTTTTGGACATGTGAAGCCTGAGGGACTTAGTAGACTTCCAGACAGAGAAGCGGAGCAGGATGTTGGGTGCACAGGTCTGAAGTTCCAAGAGAAATCTGAAGATGGACCTCAGATAATTATTAGCGTTTGGATAGTATTCAAAGGCATGACACTCAGATCACTTAGGAGGTGATCAAACAACAGTAGTTCTCCACCAGGGGAGATTTTGCCCCACAGGAACGTTTGGCAATGTCTGGAGACATTTTTGATTGTCATGGCTGGAGGAGAGGGGTTGTTACCTACATCTAGTTTATCAGCAGCAGGGATGCTGCTCACCATCCTGTAATGCACAGGACAGCTCCCTACAGAAGATAATTATCCAGCCCAAATGTCAATAGTGCCAAATGTCAGTAGTGGCAAAGCTGGCAAACCCTGGGGTAGATAAAGAAGAGAGTGGCCAGGCGTGATGGCTCGTGGCTGCAACCTCAGCACTTTGGGAGGCCGAGGCTGGAGGGTCACTTGAGGCCAGGAGCTCAAGACCAGCCTGGGCAATGCAGTAAGACCCTATCTCTACAAAAAAATTAAAAAACCAAATAGCCAGGTGTGGTGGCGCATACCTATAGTCCCAGCTTACTTAGGAGATTGAGGCAGGAGGATCACTTGAGCCCAGGAGTTCCTGGCTGCAGTGAGCTATGATTGTGCCACTGCGCACCTGGAAGCCCTTGTTAAAATAAAGACTCTAATTAAGTAAGCCTGGAGTGGGACCTGAGACTCTGCATTTCTAACAAGTTGAGGGATGGTGATGCTGTCGGCCCATGACCCACACCCTCAGAAGCAAGTTCCTAGGGCACGCCAGTATTGTGACTTTGGAACAAGGAGGAGGGACTCTCTAGGAAAGGAAATTAAGAAAATCTGGGCAGTGAATAGAGGGGAAAGTGGGAAAATGTGGTGTCCTGGAAGACACATGTACAAAGTGTTTTAACTTGTTAAATTCTTGACACAGTCAAACTGTGCTATATGCTACTCAGAGTTCGAGAAAGTTGAGAATTTGGATTTAACCCTTGGGCTTGGCAAGACAAAGGTCATTGATCACCTTGACACATGTGGTTTCAGAGGAATAGGAAGGTGAGAACCTAACTTGAATGGGTCCCCGGGAGGTAAGGATGTGTGGCTAAGATGGAGAGCCGAAAAATGAAACAGCAGCAGGAGGGAGAGGTGGCATCCTGAGAGGTCTATATCTTTTTTAAGATGGGCGATATTATAACCTGTTCGTATGATGATGGAAGCTGTACAATCAATAGGAATGGATGATCCAGAAGAAGGGATGATCGCAGAAGCAGAGTTCCTATTTAGCAAGAGAAGATCCAGTGATGCAAGTCAAAGGTTAGCCTAGACCGTTGCTGGTTGGCCTTAGATGCATTTTAACTGGAAAAAGGTGAAGTGTGTAGGGCTATGGGCTGGTAGGTCAGTAGACTCTGCATGGAAAGATTTTTTTTAATTCTCTCCAATTTGTTTCTGTTTTCTCAGCAAAATTGGAGGCAAAATCACTTGCTGGGAGAGTACAGAAAGGGAGTGCTGCAGGTGTAAGAGAAGATATAAAATACTCTCTGAGAGCAGAAGAGTGAATTCAACAGGAAAATTAGATATCCAATAAAGTAGGATTTAAGGAAAAACACCGAATGGAACCTACTGCCCCTAGAGAACTATCAATTTCATATGAATGAAAGTTCCAATCCACAATGCAGCTTTAACAAGATGAACATTTATGTGCAGAATCAAACAGCATCGACAAGTAATACAGACAGTCCTTGACTTAGAATGGTTCGACTTATGATTTTTCCACTTGTGATGGGTTTATCAGGACGTGGCCCCATCATAAGTCAAGGAGTAATAACTGTAGAGTAATAATACCATTTAGAAACATAATTAGAAACTTGGATGTGGTGGCACATGGTTGCTTGAGCCCAGGAGTTCGAGACCAACCTCGACAATATAGCAAGACCCCATCTCAAAAAGAAGAAACAAGAAACATAATTAGAAACTCACAGAGATACCATTGCAGCTGGTGAACCTAACACATCTGCCTTTGATCGGCAGAGTAGGCAAAAAATAAATAAGGATGTAGAGAAATTAAATCAGATAAGCTAATATAAATAGCCATCAAATTTTATATCTTCAAACAAAGGGTGCTTTTCTACAGTCTCCAGATTTTCTACAATGACCATGTATTACTTCATAAGATTAGACAAGAAATATAAGGGGAAAAAACTTATAAAGAAGAGGCTGCCACAAAATAAGAGCAGTTATGCCCAGAGTTGAAGTCATGATATTGGGTTTTGCTTTTCCCTTGTAAAATGGGGTTTCTGTCTGCTGCTGCTTGTTAGGGGTGAGGGAAGTGTTCGCATCACTGCATCGCATAGAGCAGCTCAGTGTAGGAGATGCACAGACTTGTACTGGCTGTTTCCAAATGCCCTCTTTGGTTTTAGGCATTTGGCCTCATCAAAGGGGCCAGAGTCAGCATCCTCATAGATGTGTCAGCCGTCAGCAGTGGCCCTCAGAAAGAGGAGTTCCAAAAGGACCTCATGGTAAGTCTGTCTGGCGCACTGAAACACCTGGAACCACCCACCACCCCCAGCCTTTCCTTCCTGAACTTGCTGACCAGCTTGTTTATAGCAAATGCAAGATAGGGTGTCTTATAAAGAACAGTTCACACTTAATTAGCACCTATGGTTAGAGAACTATGTTGAATTCTACAAAACCCAACCACAGAGTCATTTTCGGTTGTAGTGTGAACTTCCAGTGTTCTCACCACGACAGTACCTGCCAACTAGACTTTGACTCAAGAGCTCCCATGTTTCCCTGGAAAGAGGATGTGAAGACTCCTGCATAGCATAGCACAGCACAGGGCTTCTGGCCTTTTCTGGATGGAGGAGCTATTCTGGTTTCTTTGGAGTTACGGTTCCCATTGGATACTCACCAGCTCTAGCTTGAGAGCAGTGAACAGGCTGGTGTTGCCCATTGCTCCATCCCCAACTCACCTCCATAGCGGAGAAGCTAAGAACTAGAGTCAGATGGCTGGAGTCAAATCCCAGCCACCTCCACCAATTCCAGGCCATGTGACTGCGTTAACTAATCTCTCTGTGTCTTACTTACCTCCTCTGTAAAATGGGGATGATAACAGTGACTACCTAGGGTTGCCATAAGGGTAAAAGGAGCTTGTGCAAGTGAAGTGCTCTGTGAGAAGTCTTCTCATAAGTGTGTAGTGAGAAGTCTGGCCTGGAGAAAAGCCTCTGCAGCCTGATGTGGTGTGGACAGGCTATTTTCTTATGGGTACCATGGCAGCAACAGCCCGTTGTATTTTGTACAGGTCCTGCAGAGCCTTTATGAGGCTCAGTGTGGGGCTGTCCTCCAGACTTGTTCCCTGTTCCTGGTCTCAGTGGATGTCAGGGGACAGGTTGCAGAGCAGTCTCCCCCTTCATGACAAGTCCTCAGGACAGAGTTTCCAAAGATCCGTCAGGTGGAGTGGTCTACTATTAGCCAGGGCAGAGCTCATGGGGTGGCATACACGTGGAATTTCTAGCTGGCCAGGAAGAAGAGGGAGAAGTTATGGATACTCACCAGCTCCATCTCCAGTTTACATGCCTTAGAGAGAAACCACTGCCCCGACCTCTGTCCTCCCTCTCCGGGTACCACAGGTAAGTGCCAAGGGGCCAACCATAGCACACTGAGATGGCAGCCCAGATGCTCATCCCACCCACAGGAGGCCCGGCAGGTGGGAAGCAAATCAGCTCAGACCCAGCCCAGAGGGGCCGGCTAAGGCGAGACAGGCAAAGCCAGGCTCCACATTCCCCTGGCTATGGGAGCCAGTGACGTCCTTTTGTCCAACAGAGCCTCATCGATGAGCAGCTGAGCCACAAGGAGAAGCTATTTGTCCTGTCCTTTGGCACCAATGCCAGGTCCCTCTGGCCGGACCCCATGGAAGTCAGCGCCTCTGTGTGAGTGGCTTTCCTGCCTGACGGTGATATTGACTTTTTCATTTTCCTCCCTAACCAGCAGAGTCTTTATTGAATAATTCAACTGCAAACCCCAGGACACTACTAGATAAGTGAGTACAAAGAGACAACTCACAAAAGCAGAAACAATTTTTGGAAAGATGGCCATGCAGCCGTTCATAAACCGACAGAGAAGGTGACCACAAGACCTGTTTTTACCCCCAAACTAGCAAAGATAGTTTTATTATGTGAAAATAACACATGCATGTTTTTAAAAAATTCCAACAGTATGAAAGGATGATAAATAATAGCAAATGAGTCTCCCTCCTTTTTTTTTTTTTTTTTCCAAGACAGGATCTCATTGTGTCTCCCAACCTGGAGTGCAGTGGCACAATCATAGCTCATTGCAGCTTTGACCTCCTGGGCTTAAGCAATCCTCCCACCTCAGCCTCCTGAGTAGTTGAGACTACAGGCATGTGCCACCACACCCTGCTACATTTTTGTTTGTTTATTTAGACACGGTCTCTGTTGCCTAGGCTGGAGTACAGTGGTGTGATCTTGGCTCACTGCAACCTCCACCCCACGGGTTCAAGTGATTCTCGTGCCTCAGCCTCCCAAGTAGCTGGGACTGCAGGCATACGCTACCATGCCCAGCTAACTTTTGCATTTTTTGGTAGAGACAGGGTTTCACCATGTTGGCCAGGCTGGTCTCGAACTCCTGACCTCAAGTGATCTGTCACCTTGACCTCCCAAAGTGTTGGGATTACAGGCATGAGCCACCACACCCAGCCATATTGTTTATTTTTGTAAAGATGGGATCTTGCGATGTTGTCCAGGCTGGTCCTGACCTCCTGGCCTCAAGTGCTCTTCCAGTCTTGGCCTCCCAAAGTGCTGGGACTACGGATGTGAGACACTGTGCCTGGCCCAAAATAGTTCCTTATATCACTTCCACAAATAATATTTGCATACACATGCATCTATGTGTTTACCTTCTTATTTTGACATAAACAGGACCTATATAACACTGCCCTGTGCTTTGGCTTTCTAGCTGGTCTTGAATCTCTTTCTCTGTCAATGCATACAAATCTACCTCATTTGTTTTAATGGCTACATAGTACTCTACTGCATGGATGTCCTTTAGTTGGGGGTTTCTAGCCTGGGGTTTTTTTTTAGGGATAGGAGGGAGGTATGTAAGAATCTCTATTTATCCAGTGAGTAGAAATTTCTTTTCCATGAAAGGAATGTCCTCAGTCACCCACCATGTGTTGGTTGCCATACTAGGTACTTTGCATAGATGATTGCATTTAGTATATATAGCCACCCCATGGAATAGGATTATTATCCTCATTTTGCAGATGAGGAAATACAGACTCAGCTTAGGGAAGATGCCCAACACAGCAGAGCCAGGATTGGATTCCAGATCCCAGGAAAACGCACATGCTTTGGCCAGGGCCAGTTGCTCATGCCTATAATCCCAGCACTTTGGGAGGCCAAGGTGGGAGGATCGCTTGAGCTCAGGAGTTTGAGACCAGTCTGAGCAACTCAGTGAGACCCCATCTCTACAAAAAATTTAAAAATTAACCCGGTGTGATGGCATGTGCCTATAGTCCCAACTACTCGGGAGGCTGAGGTGGGAGGTTTGATTGAGACTGGGAGGGAGGTCGAGGCTGCAGTGAGCTATGGTTGTGCCACTGTACTCCAGCCTGGGTGACAGAGAGAGACCCTGTCTCCAAAAAAAATTTAGAAGTTTAAAAAAAAGCATGTGCTTAGATTTCTAGGAGGGAGGCCCCCTCGCCAGCACTAGCTGTAAAGAATAGCCCTTCCGGATAGAGAATTGCCCACTTCTGGCCCTCTGGCTTTGAATCCCAACCCCAACAGTCACTGCGTGTTCTTGACATGTCCCTTAACTCTCTCATTTGCAAAACAAGGCCAGTCCTACCCACTCTTCACAGGACTGTTATGGAGATGAAATGAAAACAAAGTACCAGGCTAGTGCCAGGTATTCAATAAACGAGAGCATTTTGTACTCTGATTTCCACTTTAGGTAGAGCAGTGACCCCTGGGTTGTTGTGGATGGCAGCCAAAAGTTCTGCATCTTCAGGAACTCCTAGAATTCTCTTGTCATATCCCTATGTCATATCTTTACCATGTGTACTATTGTTTTGTTTTATTTTATTTTATTTTATTTTATTTTATTTTATTTTATTTTATTTTTGAGATGGAGTCTCACTCTGTCACCCAGGCTGGAATGCAGTGGTGTGATCTTGGCTCACCACAACATCCATTTCCTGGGTTCAAGCAACTATCCTGCCTCAGCCTCCCAAATAGCTGAGATTACAGGTGTGCTCCACCATGCCCTGCGAATTTTTTTGTGAGCTTTTTTTTGTGTATTTTTAGTAGCGACGAGGTTTCACCATGTTGGCCAGGCTGGTCTCGTACTCTGACCTCAAGTGATCCGCCCTCCTTGGCCTCCCAAAGTGCTGGGATTACAGGCGTGAGCCACTGCGCCCGGCCTACCATGTGTACTATTGTTGATTTTTCTTTACTTCAATTCTATTTATTTTTTATTGAAAGAAACTTGTTTTTTTCGTTTTGTTTTGTTTTGTTTTGAGACAAGGTCTTGCTCTGTCACGTCTGGAGTACAGTGGTACAATCATAGCTTACTGCCATCTTATCTCCTGAGCTCAAATGATCCTCCAGCCTCAGCCTCCCCAGTAGCTAGGACAACAAGGGTGTGCCCAACTAATTTTTTAATTTTTTCCTTTTTTGTAGAGATGGGGTCTGACTATGTTGATCAGACTGGTTTTGAACTCCTGGCCTCAAGTGGTCCTCCCTCCTCAGCCTCCCAGAGTGCTGGGATTGCAGGCATGAGTCACTGCTGCTGGCCTGAAGGAAACTTTCTATCAATACCATAACTGAGAAGTTCATATCACTTGCATGATTATACTTCTATAATCATGTAATTATATTTCTATAATTAGAAAGCAACCATATATCTTTCTTTAATGGCTTTGAGAAAAAGAAAGAAAGAAAGCAGCCATACAAATAAATACAATGAGAGAAAAACAATGGTTTTAAATTCCAGCTTAAATCTATTGGCTAGAGAAGGCGCTAGACCTGGGACTTGTTCTTGCTGTTCAAAAAGGAGACTTGACAGTTATGATCATGAAAGATGAACTTATTAGCACCACACTGAGATTTTCTTTCAGATTTTTGATTTTTTGAAGTAGAAAGAACAGACCTCTTTCACTAGTGTTGTGCAAAGTTTTAGCCAAGAAAGAATCAAGTTAAGTTATTTTTCTTCTCACCAGTGGTGTGTACCCCAACCCACGTGAGACATAAGCCACGCAGCCATAATGCTTTCTCTTAGAGCCTTCTTAGGGTCGCGGAATTAACTCCATGCCTCCTGTTGAGGGCTGGCTCCCAAGACAGTGGGTATGGGGAGGAAGGAACTCAGGCCCAGACCCTCACATAGCACAATTTCTAAAAGCTCAGATCTTAGAGTCAGACCCGGTTTGAAATCTCAGTTGTAACAGTTGCTTACATTATCACCTTGGGCAAGTCCTAACTCAGTTTCCTCATCTACAAAATGGGAATAAAGGTACCACCTCAACAAGTTATCATTAGGTTTAAATGAACTCATATTTGTCCTGGGCCTGGTACCTAATACTACAGGCCAGGTGTAGGGGCTCACACCTATAATAACAGCTGTTTGGGAAGCTAGGGAGGGGGACCTCTTGAGGCCAAGAGTTCAAGACCAGCCTGGGCAACACAGTTAGACCCCCATCTCTACATAATTTTTTTTTTTTTTTTGAGATAGAGTCTCACTCTGTTGCCCAGGCTGGAGTGCAGTGAGAGTGGCACAATCTCAGTTCACTGCAACCTTCCGCCTCTGGAGTTCAAGCAGTTCTCCTGCTCACCCTCCCAAGTAGCTGGGATTACAGGCATGTGCCACCACAGCTGGCTAATTTTTTTTGTATTTTTAGTAGAGATGGGATTCACCATGTTGGCCAGGCTGGTCTTGAATTCCCGACCTCAAGTGATCCACCCACCTTGGTCCCCAAAAGTGCTAAGATTATAGGCATGAGACACTATGCCCAGCCCTCTACAAAAAATATAAAAATTAGTCGGGCAGGATGCCACACACCTGCAGTTCCAGCTACTTGGGAGGCTGAGGCAGGAGGATCGCCTGGGCCCAGGAGTTCGAGGTTACAGTGAGTTATGATTGCACCACTGCACTTCAGCCTGGGTGACATAGCCAGACCTTATCTCTAAAAAGAAATTAAAATGAAATTAAATACAAACAGTCTTATAATTAGGTTGCCATTGTTGTCTCCCCCCAGCCTCCAGGAACTTAAGCTCTGGGTAAAAACACTGCAGCCTGATGGAGGCAGCAACCTGCTACAAGCTCTGAAGAAGATCTTCACTCTCAAGGGGCTGGATTCCCTGGTGGTCATCATGAGAAGCTGGTAGGTCTTCTTTCCTAAGCAGTTGACATACTACACGAAAGGAACTGAAGAACCAAACCACTGTTTGAGAAAAGATTGGCCGGTCACAGTGGCTCATACCTGTAATCCCAGCACTTTGGGAGGCCGAGACAGGAGGACTGCTTGAAGCCAGGAGTTTGTGACCAGTCTGGGCAACACAGTGAGAACCTATCTCTAAAAAAAAGATAAAAATTAGCTGGTCATGGTTGTGTGCACCTCCCAGCTACTTGGGAGGCTGAGGCAGGAGGATTGCTTGAGCCCAGGAGTTTAAGGCTGCAGTAAGCTATGATTGTTCCACTGCACTGTAACCTGGGTAGCAGAGTGAGACCCAGGGAAGGGAAGGGGAGGGAAGGGGGAGGGGAGGGGAGGGAGGAAGGGAGGAAGGGAGGAAGGGAGGGAGGGAGGAAGGGAGGGAGGGAGGAAGGAAGGAAGGAAGGAGGAAGGGAGGGAGGGAGAGGAAGGAAGGGGAAGGAAGGAAAGGGAGGGAAAGGGAGGGAGAGAGAGGGAGAGAGGGAGGGAGAGAGAGAGAGAAGGAAGGAAGGAAAGAAAGAAAGAGAAAAGATCATCAATCATGGCTCTTCACACATACATGAGGGAAAGATCGCAGTCACAGGCAGACAGAGAAAAAGAAAAAGAGAGAAAGAGAGAAAGAAAGGAAAGAGAGAAAGACAAAGAAACAGAATGAAAGAAAGAAAAGAGAAAGGAAGGAAAGAAGGAAGAGAGAGAAAAAAAGGAAGGAAGGAAAGAAGGAAGAGAGAAAGAGAAAAAGAAAGAAATGAAAAGAAAGAAAGAGAAAGAAGAAAGAAGGAAAAGAAAAGAAAGAAAAGGAAGGAAAGAAGGAAAAGAGAGAAAGAAAAGAAGGAAGGAAAGAAAGAAAAGATCATCAACCATGACTCTTCACACACACACATGAGGAAAGGACTGCAGTCACAGGCCACCCATCTGCAGAGGAGGCAGGGCAGCCAGGCCTGCAGTCCACCTAGCCCTGCATGCCGCATAGGACCTGGGACACAGGTGGCCAGTTAAGAATGGGTAGATGTTCCTTGGGAATTACCATTGTGCTCTGAAATGTTCTCAAAGTGATCTGACCTGGGGTGTCCACTTTTCTGCCTTCTCCTCAGCCCAGATCAGCCTTCTGAAATCCTGTCCGACTACATCCAGCAGTCCACCATGGGAAGAGAACTCATCATCCACTTCATCACCTACAGCTGTGATGATCAGATGCCCGCTGTGAGTGCCCGAGATTCTCTGAGGTGTCCCTTGGCTTTGGCGGTAGTCAGTTGGGCTGGCCTTTGAGGCCTCATGCTTGGACAGGCCCCCGAGTGTGGATGAGAATGCACCTGTCCTTGTGCCTGGTTCTCCCTTTGGTAAAATGGGAAGCTTCAGATAATTGGGAGGTTCAGTCAAGGAGAAGGCTTACTGGAGTATTGGTGTTGCCCTAGTGAGGGCTGACCCTGGCCTCATCCCTGCAGGCTGTCCTGAAGAACCTTGCAGAAGCTGTTAGGGGCTACTACCACTGCTACAGCCCAAAGATGGAGGTAAGCCCTTCTACCAACACGTGGCCCCTCTTCTTCTCTCCTTGTCTGCCTCCAAGGTTGTACCCAGGAGGTCTGGGCCAGGACCACACTATACACTTGTTTCTCCTTTTCTCCCCGTCCCCACCTGTATTCAATGAGGTTACACGGTAAAATCGGGTTAGAATGAATATGTGGGAAGAACAGGGACAACCTGAAGTCACAGGAGATGCTTTGGTCAGCCTGTATGATGCATTGATTGCATGCCTGGGAGCCCAGAGGCCTTTTAAAACCCTGCCTGCAGAATCCTCACTCTCCAGTTGCCATTAATATAGGCCCCAGCCTAGCTCTGCTCCCCGCAAAGCACTGAGTCTGAATTGCCTTGATTTTCTCTCCTAGATCAACTCCTGCTACTGCAGGGGACCCACTGCAGAGCAAAATGAGCAATCCATTCTGTACCGATCCATCCATTACTGTCCTTGTCCCAGTTAATAACTAGACATCAGCCACCCTGTGTTCACAAGGGAGGCAACGATTAGCAAACATGTGTGTAGGTCCATTTGGAAGATTACGAATGCAATCATCTGGTCGCTCCCAGGCTGTGTCTTGCCTACCATTAATAACCATGAGTAAATGAGTGTTTGCATCTCACAAGTGAATTCAAAGGTCACAAGGTCCCTGCTTGTCATAGCAGGGAGCCAAACTCAGGCAGCACCCTATCTTGATACCTCATCATCTGGACTCTGTCTGTAGGTGACTCAGACTACAGAGGTTAGAAAGGTAAAGTAAATGACTGAAACTGACTGGTTTAAGAAATATTTTATCTTAAAACCTGTGGCTTGACCAGGCATGGTGGCTCATGTCTGTAATCCTCGTGCTTTGGAAGGCTGAGACAGGAGGATCATTTGAGGCCAGGAGTTTGGACTAGCCTAGGCAATATAGTGACAGCCCATCTCTACAAAAAATTTAAAAATTCGTCTGGCGTGGTAGCACATGGCTGTAGTCACAGCTACTCAGGAGGCTGACACAGGAGGATCACTTGAGCCCAGGAGTTCGAGGCTGCAGTGACCAATGATTGCACCACCGCACTCCAGCCTGAGTGACAGAAAAAGACCCTTTCTCTAAAAATAATAATAAAATAAATAAATAATAATTATTATTATAGCCATCCTAGTGCATGTAAAGTGTTTCTTTATACTTTTACAGTTAGAAAACTCTTCAATTGTTTTAAAACACAGCAGGTCAGTTGCAAAATGGAGCACAGCATGTCTGCAGGCTCTTCCTGGCACATGGGTAGCAGTTTATAAGGCCTAGTGGAGAGAGTCTGCCCCTCTGCCTGGGCATTGGCCTGGCTGCTTGCCCCTTCCTGGGTTGGCCTCTGCAGGTAGCCAAGTGATTCTGGCTGGCTGATTGCTCTTGCCACCCTCAGCTCTACACCAGCCGGGATATGGATGAGCTCCTGGCAGAAATTCAGAAGGCCCAGAGCCTCCTCAGCCACGTGCAAGCCCTGAGGCACAGCAGCCCCTGTGAGGCGCTCACCTGCACCATGGAGGAGGTAGGTGGTGTGAGTGTCAATTCTGGGGCCTTCTCCCAGCAGCACTCAGCTGGCCTTGTTCCCCTTTCTCACCTGTTAATAGACGGCACAGCTGCCAGTGCCCATCACTTCCTAAAATCGAAACAAGGCAAGGCCCACCCTTCATTGCACCCCAGAGCTCTGAGTTGGGGGGGCTGGGTGGGCCCACCATGGTGCCAGAAAGATCCTGGTGGATTTACTAACTGTAAAATTTATTTCAGAGAAAGATCAACAGGCTTCTGCCACCCCCTCTGTCTTGTCACTGTCCCCTCCCTTACCCTCAGTTTGGAGAACCAGGAAAACCTCAACCACCCAGAATAGGCTGTCTTGAAGAGAGTCATTCTCACCTCAGCCATGGCTCACACCTGAAATCCCAGTGCTTTGGGAGGCCAAGGCCAGAGGATCACTTGAGTCCAGGCGTTCAAGACCAGCCTGTGCGACATGGCAAAACACCGTCTCTACAAAAAATAAAAAATGAGCCAGGCACGATGGCACGGGCCTGTAGTCCCAGCTACTCAGGAGGCTGAGGTGGGAGGATGATTGAACCTGGGAGGTCAAGGCTGCAGTGAGCCATAATGGCACCACTGCACTCCAGCCTGGGCAATGGAGCGAGACCCTGTCTCAAAAAAGAATTTTAAAAATGTATAAATACAAAAACAACAATTAGTATTAGAATTATAATAGTTCTTGGCCAGGTGTGATGGCTCACACCTGTAATCCCAGCACTTTGTGAAGCTGTAGCAGGTAGATCGCTCGAGGTCAGGAGTTCAAGACCAGCCTGGCCAACATGGTGAAACACTGTCTCTACTAAAAATACAAAACTTAGTGAGGCGTGGTGGCAGGCACCTGTAATCCCAGCTATGTGGGAAGCTGACTCAGGAGAATCACTTGAACCCAGGAGGCAGAGGTTGCAGTGAGCCCAGATAGTGCCACTGCACTCCAGCTTGGGTGACAGAACAAGACTCCATCTCAGAAAAAAAAAAAAAAAAAAGAATTATAGTAGTTCTCATTTATTAAATGCTCGTTATAAGATAGGCACAATGTTCAATTATTTAAATGTTTTATCTTAACAACAGTCTGAGTTAAGTATATTATTACTTTTTATAGATGAGGAAACCGAAGCTAAGAGGTTACATAACTTGCCTAAGATTGCAGAGATAGAAATAGATTGAGTTTGGACTGAACCCAGGTCTAAGGCCCAAAACCTTGCCAAGAGTTTCCAAAAATGAAGTGCATGTACTACTTGTAGTTTGCAAGATGATTTTATGTGGTGCATGGATTAATATATTTTTTAAATGGTATCTATTTCAAACTAGCTCATTATGGTCATCATAGATCTTCTTTCTAAAATTGTGAATTTTTAAACTTAAAGAAAATTATAGAATTTTTAAACTTAAAGAAAATTAATAACTAAAAAGCTTTAATGTTACATGTTGATTCTTAAAATATAGTAATACAGTAGTACTCAGATATAGCAAAATTTATGAAGGCAGTGCTCAAATCTCTGAAGTTTGGGACTTGCTGTTCTATGTTTTACTTTTACATTCACTATGTAATTTAACCTCTCAGAGCCTCGGTTCTTTACTTTGTAAATGTGGCCACAGGGTGGCCACGTGGGGGCTTACTGAGTGATTTGCTGCAGGAGTTTTTAGTTCTCCAAAACATGGAGGGGCGACCTGTCATCTTGGAGTCTGTGGTGCTGATCTTCCCAGTAAGGTTAGGGAGGGAGCCAGGAGCATAGGCCACTGTGAGAGCAAGCGAGTTGCTGGGTACTCCTCCGTCTTCCCCTGGAAATTCCAGAAATCTTCAGAGAAGGGGAGGGGATGACGGAAGGGAAAGGCAAAACCGCCTTTAATCTACCATGGAGTGTTTAAGATGCTCCACTTGCATTGACTGGGTGGAGGGTGAAGACTGAGGACTTTTCAACTCTAATATATGATTATGTAATGAGGGCTTTCTCATTTAATTTAGATTTCCACAGAGATTGCAAATGGGCTACTCATAAGCCTCTTGCCTAAACCCCCAAAGCATGACGCTCCTCTCACCATTGAGTTTCCAAACTTGGACAAGACTTCTGCAGAGTGGCTTAAGGTCAATGGTCTGAAAGGTAAATCTCCAAAGAGGGCAGAACCCAGGAAACAGGTGACTGACTAAAAGGCTTGAATCCGGCCGGGCACAGGCTCACATCTGCAATCCCAGCACTTTGGGAGGCCAAGAAGGAAGGATTAGTTGAGACCAGGGATTTGAGACCAACCTAGGCAACATAGCAAGACCCCATCTCTATAAAAAATAAAATTATCTGGGTGTGGTGGCATACACCTATAGTCCCAGATGCTCAGGTAGGCTGAGGCAGGAGGATACCTTGAGTCCAGGAGTTTGAGGATACAGTGAGTTACGATTGTGCCACTGCATTCCAGCCTGGGTGACAGAGCAAAACCCTGTCTCAAAAAAACAAAAGGCTTGAACCCTTTGGAGCTTCCCAGGCAGTGCTTAAAACCTCACAATTTATTTTTTCAGCCAAGAAATTAAGTCTGTATCAGGTCCTGGCACCCAACGCATTCTCTCCTGTGGAGGAATTTGTACCTATTCTCCAGAAAACAGTGTCATCGACTATCCATGAGGTAATTCAGATTCATCATTTTCTCCAGTCCTCCACAGGAGAGCTCCCTGGTGGCTTTTCCCACCTTCTTAAATATTCTGGCAATAAGAACCACCAGGGATTCAGGTTTCCCACCCAGGACCCTATAATGCACATCAAATCCACTGTAGCTGTTGGTTTTCAAAGATCTAAAAAATTGAACTCGGGAGATGGGGCAAGAGGGATAAATCAGGTACCACGGTCACCTCCTCCATGAAGGTTTTCTCCTCCCAACTCAGACAGGACAGACTTGCTCTCTTTATGTCCTCGCTGTACCTAATGCAGACTTCTGCTATTGCTCCCATAAAGGGTTAATGCATGAATTTTTACATATTTAAATCTCCATCAAGTATGAAGTATAAAGAGGGAACGCTCTTCTCTAACTCTCTATCCCCCATGTTTAGTATGAGTAGGAAATCAATGAATGTTTACTGGATGGCTGAGAAGGTAGTTGGAAGGAAGGTTGGCCAGAAGAAGGAAAAGAATGATGAATGAATGGAAACGTGGATGGATGGATGGATGGATGGATGGATGGATGGATGGATGGATGGACAGATGGATAGGTGGATGGATAGATGGGTGGGTGGGTGGATGGATGAATGGATGGATGGATGGATGGATGGATAAATGGATGAGTGGATGGATGGATGGATGGATGGATGGATGGATGGATGGATGGATGGATGGATGCATGGATGGGTGAATGGATGGGTGAATGGATGGAAATCTGAACAGGTGGAAGGGTAAAATGGAAAATGGAAGGATGGATGACAAAATGGAATAAAGGGCAAATGAAAGAATGAAAGTAGAAATTAAAGTAAGGATGGAAGGATGTAGGAGTGAAAGGATGGAGAAATGGAAGGAAGGAATAATAGGTGAATAGAAAGATAGCAGAAAGATGGAAAACTGAAAGGAAGAGGGAGGAGTAAGGGACATGTAGGTCTAGCAGTGCATGGATGAATGACTAGATGGATGGAGTGATAGAGAGATGGATATGTTGACTTGGTGGAGGATGAAAAAACAAGATGAACAAATTTGATTTTCAAAGCATCTGTGAAAGCCTGTCTAGGTTTCCAAACCTAAGAAGCTATGGCCAGTATATTTTAAGGTCTCCGACTGTGCTCTCTTTTACTAAAACCCTCCAACCATATCTTCATGACTCTGATGTTCAGAAAAGCTTCTCAGGAAGACAGCCTGAGAGGCTTGCTGTCAGGCATGGTCCATTCAGGGGATCACTCTCTCTAAGGCGCTCTACTTCCAGTTCCAGACAAGGCAATGACCTGGTGGTGGTGGTATTGCGGGGTGTGTGTGGTGGAGTTCTGGGAGGGAGTTCAATCCAACCTCGAATGTGTTCAGAGCCCACTTCCCTCTCCTGCACCTGATTTGGAGAACCAGTGCCCAAATTAAACTACATGTACTTCTGTTCACCTGCTCATCCTCCTGCCCGTGCCTGAGAACAGAAGGCAATGATACAATTTGAATGGCACGATGGGACAGTGAAGAACATTCATGTGGACCCACCCTTCCTCTATGAGTACCAGGTCAGTGATGGGTTCAATCAGTCAGAAAATGGGGTGCAGGAGGCGGAGATGGGAGGAAGGTTCCCTGGGCTATGGAGTCACCAAGCCATTGACTAAACTCCCTCTTGTAAAGAGGGACTGTGTGCTCCACCTACAGACCCCCTGGAGCTTTGGCCACCTCCTCCCCAAGCAGGGACCTCAATGCCTTAAAAAAAAAAAAAAAAAAAAAAAAAAAAAAAAAAAAGCCTGTAATCCTCTGGGGAAAGATCTGCTTCCTCCCCCATTTGATGCAATGAAATACCGTGTGACTCTTCCCTTCCTGGTCTTGTGGCGAATTTGTCCATGATTTAGTGGAATGATTATACTGCCTGGATTCCCAGGGACTTGACACACCATTCCCTGAAGCCCACCTGGGTATACTCACTTCCCCTCAGGCCCCTTGGTTGCTCAGCCTTTGAGCAGCCACTCACTGTGGCCCACACCTCTGCAGAAACAGCTCAACAGAGCTATGCGGATGTACGAGAGGCGGATCGAGTGGCTCTCCCTGGCCAGCAGAAGGATTTGGGGCACTGTCTGTGAAAAAAGGTACCTTTCCTAAGCAGGGTTCTTATCCTTCGTGGGTCTGGTGTGTGACATGACGTTTATCTGACTCATGAATTCCCTGTTGGTATCATCAGAAGCCATCCCTTAGATTAGGGATTGGGAATCTCTCAGCAGAACCCCCAGGGGAGGAAAAAGTCACCACCACCATCATTGATGTCAATAATGTCATCGTTGTGTCACTGAGCATTTTTGCAATCCCAGCACTTTAGGAGGCCAAAGTAGGAGGATCGCTTGAGGCCAAAAGTTTGAGACCAGACTGGGCAACATAGTGAGACCCTGTCTCTACAAAAAATAAAATAATTAGCTGGGCATGGTGTTGTACACCTGTAGTCCCAGCTACTTGGGAGGCTGAGGCAGGGGCAGGAGGGTCGCTTGAGCCCAGGGGTTCAAGGCTGCAGTGGGCTATGATTGTGCCACTGTACTCCAGCCTGGGCAACAGAGCGAATCCCTGTGTCTACAAAAAAAATCACACCTCCTCCCTGGCCAGAGCAAATGGGTCATGGATGAATGGATCCTCCCACCCAGCCAGAGGTGTGATGTTCTGATTGGTCGGTCAAATGCCCATCCCTGAAGCTTGCAGTGGGCTCAGTTTCACTCAACTCAAATTGACTGATAGAGGCAGAGGTGTTTCCCAAAGGAAAATCAGGATGCTGTTGCCAGATGAGGTAATGGATGCTGAGTTGGGAGAAACAATAGTTATCTATTATGGTCATTATTACGATTCCATACCTTGTTTGATGAATTAACATTTACAAATTATTATATTTCATAATACTATACATCTATTATTATTATTATTATTATTATTAGAGACAGAGTCTCGCTATGTTGCCCAGGCTGGTCTCAAACTCTTGACCTCAAGTGATTCTTCTGCCCCAGCCTCCCAACATGTTGGGATTGCAGGCATGAGCCACCACACCTGGCCACTATACATCTATTATGTAATTTTGTTCTTGAAGCAACCCTATGATGAGTCTTACAAGTAGTTTATAGTTAAACTACTTAAACAAAGATCTGAGAGGTTTTGTGACTTGCCTAAGGCCACACAGCTGGTATGAAGTGGAACTTGAACCAAGGTCTTCTGACTGTAAATCCCATGGATTTTCTTTTGCTATCCATAGCTGTCTCAAAATGAGAATGGGGCAGGAGGTAGGAATATAAGTTTGAAGTTGTAAAATGAGAGAAAGAACGAATGAGGCTAGAGATCTTAAAACAGAGAGCAAACAAAAAAATAAAAATATTTTCCAAGAGGCCCAGATATACCTAATTCCTCATGTTACTTGCTCACCTGGTTTTTGTTTTCCCTACAAAGACCCCAACCTATGGCAGGTGTAGTGGCTCATTCCTGTATTTCCAGTACTTTAAGAGGCCAAGGCAGGAGGATCACTTGAGGCCAGGAGTTCAAAAACAGCCTGAGCAACATGGGCAGACCTGGTCTCCACACACACACAAAAAAAAAATTTAGCTAGGAATGGTGATGTGTGCCTGTGGTCCCAGCAACTTGGGAAGCTGAGGCAGGAGTATCTCTTGAGCCCAGGAGGTTGAGGCTTCAGTGAGCCATGATCACACCACTACACTCCAGCCTGGGCAACAGAGAGAGACCATCTAAAAAATATATATATATATGTACGTATGTATGTATATTCATATTCTGACCTATAAAAATATTGAATGCTAATTATTTAAAGTAAATCTATGAAAATCATTATATGAAGCCCCTACCCCTTAAACCACCTCCACCATGAGGCTTTATTCCATTACAGCATCTCTTGGGAGAGAAGGGGGGTTCCCTGACCCCATTAATCTACCATTGTAAGCCCACCTCTGTTGGCCTCAAACCACAGAGAAGATTTTGGCCAGCTATGAATTTGGCATGCAAAATTCCCCTGGAAAAAACTTTAAATAGTAAAATGGAACAAAATAAACATTATCTCAGAGATTCGGTTCTCCTCTTAAAGCTCGTGTTTCCTTTTAGGGTGGTTGTACTGCTTGATATCTCTGCGACCAATTCCATGTACATTATTCATATCCAGCACTCCCTGCGGCTGCTGCTGGAGGAGCAGTTATCCAACAAGGACTACTTCAACCTCATCGCGTACGTGTCTCCTGGCTCCTGGGGGCAAGGGTGGGTCGTGTGTGTTTGGACGCCATCGTTATGCTGAGGCTTTGGACATTGCCGGACGACAGATATTGACGTCATAGTCACCCGGCCTCCTAGGATAGCCATCAGTTTATCTGATTTGGATGATCTTGTTTGGGGCATTGAATAATTAAATGGTTGCAGGACCGTCCTACTGGGGCAAAGGTGATAAGTGACCCCAAAACACACTGCTTGATCAACCAGGATAAAGTAATTCAGCCCATTGGCCCATTTGGCTTCTAAGACAAAACAGGCAGAAGAAGAAAGGAAGGACTCCAGCCATGCCTTAGTCTCAGTCCTCAGCCTGACTCCAGCAAGCCCCACCTTTTCAAATATTTAGGTTTCCAATTCTAAATTTAAATTAAAAGTGTATATATAAATTTGGCCGGGTGCAGTCAGTGGCTCACACCTGTAATCCCAGCACCTCGGGAGGCCGAGACAGAGGATCATTTGCATCCAGGAGTTTGAGACCAGCCTGGGCAACATAGTGAGACCCCATCTCTGTTTTAATAAATAAAAATTATACATATACATTTAATTATGTGGGTGTGTGTGTATATATATATATATATAAATCGTATGCAATTTTTAAAACGGTATAGTTTGGAATTAAATACAGTGAAGATCAGAGAGGTTTTGAAGATTTGAACTTTCTTCAAATTTATGTATAGTTTTAAAATTATATATAGTATATATAGTTTTAAAATTATATATAGTGTATATAGTTTTAAAATGTTAATATAGTTTTAAAATTGTATATTATATGTAATTATAGTACATATCTAGCATTTTTAATTTAAAAACTATATATATAGTTTGTTTTTGTTTGTGTTTTTGTTTTTGTTTTGAGATGGAGTCTCACTCTGTTTCCCAGACTGGAGTGCAGTGGCTTGATCTCAGTTCACTGCAGCCTCCTCCTCCCAGGTTCAAGCAATTCTTCTACCTCAGCCTCCCAAGTAGCTGAGTCTACAGGCACACACCACCACACCTGGCTAATCTTTGTATTTCTAGTAGAGACGGAGTTTCACCATGTTGGCCAGGCTGATCTCGAACCCCTAACCTCAAGTGATCCTCCTGCCTCAGCCTCCCAAAGTGCTGGGATTACAGGCTTGAGCCACTGAGCCCAGCCATAAAAACTATATGTATAATTTTTAAAATTGCATACTATTTTAACTAACAAGGGAAGACAGAGAGAAAAGGAACCCACTTAAAGAGTAGATTTTTATACAACCTCAAACCAAATAGGGCATTTTCTAAACCTATTAAGTCAACAGTTAGTATTAGATATTATTCTGTACCAGAGCCCAATCATTCCCTAATAAACTCTACAGAAAAATATTTATGGTAACATTATAGACAAGGAATTTTATTTATTTATCTACCCATTCATTCATTCAGCAATGTTTCATTGACAATCTGCCATGAACCAGTCCCTGGGCCAGGCACTGGGGAGATGGACATGAAGACACACAAAACCCATCCTCGAGGAACTCACAGCCTAACAGTGGGAAACAGGAATGTTAAGAAGTGCTATTAAGTGTTTTCTATAGAAATGAGTAGATAGCTAGGTATGGGACTGCAAGGTATCAGTGGCAGGATCAGTTCATTCCACCTGTGAGGAGTAGGCTCAGGACATCTTCATGGAGCAAGTGCCCCTTCCGCTGAGTCTTGATGAATGAGTAGGTGTTTGCCTAGCACCTGAGAATGATGGGATAGGGAGAAATGGTGTTCCAGGTAGAGGCAACAGCATGAGCAGGGGCATGAGGTATGTTAGAGCTTTAGGGACCATCAGCATGGATATGGGGGTGAGAGGGAGAGAATGTGCATGACAGAAATAACAGGTGATGGAGGATTGATATAGGCCATGCTCACGAGTTTCCTGTGCTATAGGATATAAAGGCACTGGAGGATTGCAAGCCAGGTACTAATACGATCAGGTTTGCATCTTCAAATGCTCGAGCAATGCTGTGAAGGAGGAACTGAAGGGATGTAATACTGGAGGGAAGAGACCAGTTTGACTCTTGCAATTGCCTGCCCTAGTGTTGAGTGGGCTTAAGCCAAGGCACTGTGAATGGAAGAAAGAGTATGTGGCCAGTAAGAATGGCCATTATTAAAGTCAAAAAATAACAAGTGCTGGCGAGGTTTCAGAGAAAAAGGAACAATTACACACTTGTTGGGAGTGTAAATTAGTTCAGCCATGGTGGAAAGCAGTGTGATGATTCCTCAAAGACCTAAAAACAGAACTACCATTCAAACCAGCAATCCCATCCCTGGGTACATACCCAAAGGAATATAAATTATTCTGTCATAAAGACAAATGCACATATATGTGCACTGCAGCACTATTAACAATAGCAAGAGATAGAATCAATGTAAATGCCCAACAGTGGTAGACTGGATAAAGAAAATGTGGTACGCATATGCCACAGAATACTATGCAGCCATAAAAAAGAATGAGATCATGTTCTTTGCAGGAACATGTATGGAGCTGGAGGCCATAATCCTTAGCAAATTAACACAGCAATAGAAAACCAAATACAGCATGTTCTTACTTATAAGTTGGAGCTAAATGATGAAAACACATGGACACATAAAGGGGAAAAACACACACTGGGGCCTATTGGAGGGTGCGGGTGAGAGGAAGGAGATCAGGATAAATAACTGATGGGTACTAGGCTTAATACCTGGGTGATGAAATAATCTATATAACAAACCCCTATGACAGGAGTTTACCTATCTAACGAGCCTGCACACATACCCCTGAGCCCAAAATAAAAGTTAATCAAGAAAGAGGTGCATGGAGGCTGGGCACAGTGGCTCACGCCTGTCATCCCAGCACTTTGAGAGGCCAAGGTGGGCAGATCACAAGGTCAGGAGATCGAGACCATGCTGGCTAACATGGTGAAACCCTGTCTCCACTAAAAATACAAAAAAATTAGCCAGGCGTGGTGGCGGGCACTTGTAGTCCCAGCTTCTCAGGAGGCTGAGGCAGGAGAATGGCATGAACCCAGGAGGTGGAGCTTGCAATGAGCCGAGATCACGCCACTGCAGTCCAGCCTGGCAACAGAGCAAGACTCCGTCTCAAAAAAAAAGGTGCATAGAAAAGATTTTGGGGAGTTAGAATTTACAGAATGCCATCCCTGGCTGTAGGGGGTGAAAGAATGGTGAAGAGAAGATGATGCCCAAGAAGAACAGATCTCTGAAGGGAAAGATGGTTTTAAACATCCAGAGTCTGAGACACTCCAGAGTTTGGAGAACATTAGGAGGAGGAGGAGCTCCAGTGAGGAGACCTAGCCAAGAAATAAGGGGTTTTGAGCCATCAGCATTTTAATTATATGAATGAAATAAATGGTAGTGCAGGGATCGCACCTGTGGAGATGCGAAGGGGAGAGAGAAGACAATCAAAGGCAGCACTTGGGAAACACCAGCATTTGAAGGGTGGGCAGAAGAAGGGAACCACCAAAGGAACACAGGAAAGGAGAACCCAGAGAGGTGGGAGGAAAACAAGAGAGAAAGGTGTTGGGATGCTATGTTAGTCCGTTCCTGCACTGCTATAAAGGAGTATATGAAGGTCGGGCGCAGTGGCTCACTCCTGTAATCCCAGCACTTTGAGAGGTCGAGGCAGGTGGATCACTTGAGGCCAGGAGTTCGAGACCAGCCTGGCCGATGTGGTGAAACCGCATCTCTACTAAAAATACAAAAATAAGTGGGTCTCAGTGGTACAGGCCTATAATCCCAGCTACTCCAGTGGCTGAGGCATAAGAATCACTTGAACCCAGATTTATTATCCAGCGATAATAGGGATATATTTCCACTGGTGGGGGAATGGAGGGCATTGTTCATCTCTACCAGAGAACGCTCTCAGGGTGGAAGTTTGACTGCAATGGGTTGAAGAGGTGAGGAAGTGGTGGTACATTGTGTTTCCAGGGAGCTTGTCCACAAGGGGAAAGAGAAAAGAGTGAAGTTGCCCATAGAGTAGCTTCCCAGTGGAAGGAGGATGTTCTTGTCAAGTATAGAGAGTCTGAAACAGGTAGAGAGGTGCTGGGGGCAGACGGAAATGGAGAGAAGTTGGGAATGTGTGGATGTGAGGGTGGAACTGGGGGGCAAAGTTTCAGAAGAGATAGGTGATGATGAGGTCAAAGGCCAGGTGGAGGAATTAATCTCATACTAGAGAGGGGACAACTTTTCATTCATAAAGAGTATAAATCTCCTTCTCAAGGATCTTAAATTCTGTCTTACAGGACAAATGAGACAATGTGGGTTTTCTGGATTTGGGGGTTTATTTGTTTGTTTTTTGAGACAGGGTCTCGCTCCGTTGCCCAGGCTGGAGTGCAGTGGCACAATCATAGCTCACTATAGCCTCAGCCTCCTGGACTCAAGTGATCCTCCCACCTCAACCTCCTAAGTAGCTAGGTCGACAGACATGTGCCACTATACCCAGCTAATTTTCTTTATTTTGTAGAAATGGGGTCTTGTTATACTGCCCAGGCTAGATGTGTATTTTTTTTCTTTACCAAATCCTGTTGATTACATAGACGTGTATTTAAAAAAACAAAACAAAACAAACAGCACTTTGGGAGACTGAGACGGGCAGATCAGGAGATCAAGGTCAGGAGATTGAGACCATCCTGGCTAACACGGTGAAACTCCATCTCTACTAATAATACAAAAAAATTAGCCAGGTGTGGTGGCAGGCACCTGTAATTCCAGCTACTCGGGAGGCTGAGGCAGGAGAATGGCGTGAACCCAGGAGGCGGAGCTTGCAGTGAGCCAAGATCCCACCACTGCACTCCAGCCTGGGCAACAAAGCAAGACTCTGTTTCAAAAAAAAAAACTATAGTATGGATAGGGAAGAGAAATGTGGAGCCATGCTAGGGGAGGTTAAATGAGGCCACACGCCATAGCTCAAAGCTTCAGAAAGAAAGCTGACCAAAGCTGGCTCAAGTATGTTGGGACATATGACCTGCAAGGAAATCTCCAGGCTAGCCCAGGCCAGTGACATCCTCACATTTTAGGGGATCTCATCAGAATTTTGTCCCCACTAAAAGCCTGCAAAACTCAAAGAGCTGGGCCGCCAAGTGGACCTCCCCCAGCCTAAGAATGAACTCTCTTTGCTTCTTAAAGGTTTGGAAGCACAAGTGAAAGCTGGAGACCTGAGATGGTTCCCATGAGCCACGACAATTTACAAAGTGCCTGGCGGTAGGTGATGGGCAGAGACTTTGTGGGGCTGTGTCTGAGGGAAAGCTTGCAGGCGTTGTTTTCTCTGTCCCCCTCTCCACCAGGAAGTAGCTCTCTAGAGTCCCTGACCCCAAACAACCATGGGCAGAAATCAGAAAACAGCTTCCTTCTGTCTGCTGCTCTCCCCACCTGGCCGTCTTCACTTTGTGAGAGTGATGACATCAACTCCATCATGTCTGAGATGGCAAAGGCTCTCAACTACTCCCTAAAGGTATGCCCTAGGCATGGGCCAATGACCCTCAGCATGGCCATCTCTGCCTCCCCAGGTGGGCCCTGAACCTGCGGTGTTGGGGCAGCAGGAACGTTCTCAGCGCCCTGCGGAAGGCTGTGGAAGTGGACTTCAAGGACAAAGACAAACACCAATCGCAGGGAATCTACCTCTTCACTGGGGGCATCCCTGACCAGGACATGGTGCGTAGGCCACGTCCTGGATGTCCATTATCCTTTGCGACCTCATCCATCTTCCCCCAGGTGGATACCTCGCCAAGGTTTCTGCAGCATGATTTCTAAAGCAGTGCTTCTCAAACTTTAATGTATAGACAGGCACCTAAGGATGCTGTTAAAATGCAGGCCCTGGAGACCAGATTGGGCAACATAGGGAGACGAAATTTCTACAAAAGTTTTAAAAATAACCTGCCATGGTGGCACATGCCTGTAGTCCCAGCTACTCAGGAGGCTGGGGTGGGAGGATCACTTGAGCTCAGGTGCTCGAGACCAGCCTGGACAACATAGCAAGACCTCATCTCTACAAAAATAAAATTTTAAACATTAACCAGATGTAGCCAGGCGCGGTGGCGCATGCCTGTAATCCCAGCACTTTGGGAGGCTGAGGCAGGCAGATCATCTGAAGTTGGGAGTTTGAGGTCACCTTGACCAACATGGAGAAACCCCATCTCTACTAAAAATACAAAATTAGCCAGGCGTGGTGGCGCATGCCTGTAATCCCACCTATTTGGGAGGCTGAGGCAGGAGAATCACTTGAACCCTGGAGCGGGAGGTTGCGGTGAGCCAAGATCACACCATTGCACTCCAACCTGGGTGACAAGAGTGAAACTCCATCTCAAAAAAAAAAAAGTGTGATGACGTGTGCCTGTAGTCACAGCTACGTAGGAGGCCGAGGCAGAAGGATTGCTTAAGCCCAGGAGGTCAAAGCTGCAGCAAGCTATGATCATGCCCCTGCACTCCAGCCTGGGCAACAGAGCAAGACCCTGTCTCTTTAAAATATATACATACATACATACATACATACATAGTGCAGATCCTGGTTCAGTAGGTCTGGGGTGGGGCCTGGGAGTCTGCATTTCTAGCAGGCTTCCAGGGGACGCGGATGCTACTGGTCTAGACCATGCCTGGTGTCAGGAGGCTCTCAGGTTCAGCTCCCGACCACACTCTGTTAAAATATTGAGAGATGGGAATTGAACAATGAGATCACTTGGACACAGGAAGGGGAACATCACATACCAGTGCCTGTTGTAGGGTGGAGGGAGGGAGGAGGGATAGCATTAGGAGATATAACTAATGTAAATGACGAGTTGATGGGTGCAGCACACCAATATGGCACATGTGTACATATGTAACAAACCTGCATGTTGTGCACATGTACCCTAGAACTTAAAGTATAATAATAAAAAATAAAAATAAAAAATATATATATTGAGAGAAACCGCAACCCAGGTTCATCTCTTTTCATCCTTGTGCCAAGGACTGGACCAGGCACAGAGAAGGCCCTGGAGAAACATGGCCAGGCTGGGCTGCCCAGAGCCCCACAGCTTCAAGGCCCTCAGCTGCGGGCCCCTCTTACCTTCTCTTTCCCACCAGCCTACACTCAGCGCCTACATGGCCGAGGCCTGTAGCGGCTGCGACCTCCAGCTGAACGTGTGTCTCTTCTACGTGGGCGAGCCAAAGATGGACACCACGCCCCCTGCCTGCTATGCCAGTTGCACTGACACAGCCGCCGCCTACAAGGAGGTCACCCGGGCTGCAGGTGGCCGCTTCCACTGGTTTGGAGACACAGGTACATGAGTGTTTCCTCATCCCTTTGGCTCGTTCCAAACAGTTGCCTCAGCACCAGCATAGCTCCCTTAGACCACAGATATATTCCAGAAAAGCAGCTTGTGAAAATCACATTTTAAAATGTAAAACTATTCCTCTAGATAGCAGTGATGGTTGCACAACAATGTGAGTGCACTTAATGCCACTGAATTGTACACTTTTAAATGCTTGAACTAGGAAGTCTGATGTTATGTATATTTTACTGCAATTTTTTTAAGTTAAAAAAAGTAGGCCGGACACAGTGGCTCATACCCATAATCCCAGCACTTTGAGAGGCCAAGGTGTTCGGATCACTTGAGGTCAAGACTTCGAGAGTAGCCCGGCCAACATGGTGAAAACCTGTCTCTATTAAAAATACAAAAAATTAGCCGGGTGTGGTGGTACACACCTGTAGTCCCAGCTACTCAGGAGGCTGAGGTACAACAGAAGTGCTTGAACCCAGGAATCAGAGGTTGCAGTGAGCAGAGATCACGCCACTACCCTCCAGCCTGGGTGACAGAGCAAGACTCTGTTTCAAAAAAGAAAAAAAAGAAGAAGAAGAAGTAAAACTCTGAAAGTATATTATGTATGGGTCAGGTGGTGGCTCACACCTGTAATCTCAGCACTTTGGAAAGTTGAGGTAAGCGGATTGTTTGAGGCCAGTCTGAGACCATCCTGGGCAACATAGCAAGACTCTGCCTCTACAAAAAAATTAAAATTTAAAATGTATGTATTTTAGAATGCCAGAGCTAGAAGGCACCCTAAATATCCCTTAGATTGTTTTTTGAAGGGTGGTATGTTCACAGCACATGGTTGGCAAGATAGTAGTACACGGTACACAAAGCAACATTTTTTTTAGAGACAGGGTCTCCCTCTGTCACCCAGGCTGGAGTGCAGTGGTGCCATCATACTTCACTGCAGCCTCAACCTCCTGGACTCAAGCAATCCTCCCACCCCAGCCTCCTGAGCAGCTGGGACTACAGGTGTCCACCACCACACCCGACTAATTTCTTAAATCTTTTGATAGAGAAGGGGTCTCACTGTGTTGCCCAGGCTGGTCTTGAACTCCCAACCTCAAGCAATCCTCCCTTTTCAGCCTCCCAAAGTGCTGGGATTACAGGAGTGAGCCACCACACCCAGCCCTCGAGTCACCTCCGGTGGCTTTCTAGTATCGAAATGATGGGGATACTTGCCAGGATCCACACCCTGTCTCCCATGCTCACAATGTGCTTTGTTTCCAGGCATTTATGAGAGTGATGACATCAGTTCCATCATGTCTGAGATGGAAAAGGCTCTCAACTACTCCCAAAAGGTATGCCCTGGGCATGGGCCAATGACTGCACTGCCTTCTGTATTCATTTCCTGGGGCTACCATAACTGCCACAAATTGGGTGGCTTAAAATAACAACCATTGATTCTCTCACTTCCAGAGGCTGGAAGTCTGAAATCAAGGTGTCAGCATGGCCAAGCTCCCTCTGAAGGCTCTGGGTAGAATCTTTCCTTGCCCCTCCCTGGCTTCTGGTGGCAATTGGTGTCTGTTTGTTTTTAATTGCACTGGTTGCTCTTTTAAAATGGCAAGGAAGACTTTACTTAAGACTGTTGCAATAGGGGAGAGAGATTGAACTCAACTCTAAATAATAGCAAAATAGCTGGAGATGTATAGCCAACGAGCAGAGTCAGTGGATGGAAAATTACTAAGAGAACTGGATAAATATGATAGGTAAAAGGATTCTTGTTAAACAGGGCTCTTGCTAAAGGCAGACCAAAGGCTTAGATATCAAAAATAGAACTGGGCACAGTGGCTCTCACCTGTAATCCCAGCACTTTGGGAGGCCGATGCAGGCTGATGCTGGAGCCCAGGAGTTTGGGACCAGCCTCGGCAGCATGGTAAAACCCCATCTCTATTAAAGAATTTTTTAAAAATCATTAAAAAAAAAAGATATCTCAGATGGGAGATGAAGAACTTGATTGGATATCAAGGATGGGACAGGTCTCACTAAACTGACTTAGCAGAATTATTTGCCAAAACTGAATTCAGCAGGCCAAGGTCAAGGTGTCATTGAGAAGATGGTTTAGAGGAGCCTGGCTAAAGTTTGGTCAAGGTGGGAGTCCTTTGAGACTAAAATGTTACTTCCCCAGAGAGAGGAGTTGAGCAGGACAAGATACAATGAGAGAGGTAGCTAGGGGCCAGATCGCGTGAGGAGCAATGAATATCTAAGGAAGAATTCCTTGGACTTGCAAGTGATTGAAGAGGCAGTGTGAAAGAGAAGACATCCAAAGTGACCCCCACGCTCCTCACTGGGGCACCCAGTAGACAGTGAGGCCACTGACCAAGATGGAGAAAAGAGGAGGAAAAGCCCATGGAAGGACGGTACAGGGAAGGCTGGTCTGGGACAAGGGTGAGTTTGTGGAGCCTGCGAGATGACAAGTGAGGGTACCCTACAGGCAGGTGGGAAAAGACATGGCTGGAGATGGAGATTTGGGGCAGTTTAAGCCACAACGATGGACAGAGGGCACTTAGCAAGGATGTGGTCGAGGCAATGGAGTGGAGGAGCCTGTGAAGGAGACTCCTGGACTCCACCACTCGCGGAAGGACTCACTTCCCAGACGACTGTGGACTCCTGGGAGGGTGGGACCACATCTCCATCTTCTATTCCTCTGTGGCCAATGGATCTGCAGATCTGTGGTTCACCCTGCGTGCCTGTGCTGTCTTCCCCAAAAGGGACCCTTTTGGTGCTTTTAAAATATCCCTTCCCGGCTGGGCGCAGTGGCTCATGCCTGTAATCCCAGCACTTTGGAAGGCCGAGGCGGGCAGATCTCAAGGTCAGGAGATCGAGACCATCGTGGCTAACATGGTGAAACCCCGTCTCTACTAAAAATACACACACACACACACACACACTAGCTGGGTGTAGTGATGTGCACCTGTAATCCCAGCTATTCTGGAGGCTGAGGCAAGAGAATCCTTGAACCTGGGAGGCAGAGATTGCAGTGAGCTGAGATCACGCCACTGCACTCCAGCCTGGTGACAGAGTGAGGCTCCGTCTCAAAATAAATAAATAAATAATAAAGAAATATCCCTTACCCTCAGGTGCACACAGTCCCATTCCCTCATCTGATAAACTCATTCATATGATGTTAATGGGCAATGACTGTGTGATTCACCTTTCCAGAGGATGCTTATTTACATTTAAGTGGTGTCTTCTGGAGCTTTGACTGAGAATAATTGCTGGGGAACCAGTCAGGCTGACCGGCCCACAAGTGGAGGCCACAGTGTCTCACAATGGAAGGGTGCTGGCTTTGGAACCAGACCCACCTGGTTTGAATCGAAGTTTCTCTACACACTGATAAGGTGGCCTTAGATGAGAACCTTAAGCTCACAGAGCTGTAACTGTAATAGATCTGTTGCCAGATATGCATGGCAAGTCAATGCGCAGAGACACTGGGTTGTGGCAGAGGAAAAAAGTTTAATTGTAGAACGGCCAAACGAGGAGATGGGAGGGAACCTCAAATCCATCTCCCCGGGGAATTTGGCATTAAGGTTTTTAAGGGTTTTGCAGTGGGCTGAAGTGTGGAGATCACTGACTAGTTGAGTGCAGGCTGGAGTCATGGGCAGGGGAGATGAAGAAGCGGTGTTCTCATGCTGTTCCTGTTCCTCTGGGGGTCTTCAAACTGGTTGACATCAGCTACTTTACTGGAATCCGGGTCTGAAAAACATCTTAAGCAATTCTTAAACAAAAGCCTTGTGATTCTGACGTCAGAAATCCTATCTCGAGGAACAATGGGGATGCAAACAGCCAGGATCTGGTGCTATGTGACTTTAGGTTACAAAGAAGTGGGGCTATGTGCAGCCTGATCAGGGCTTCATGATAACTAGATTTTTGTCCAGAATTCTTGTTAACTCTGTGATGACAGCTTCAGAGCTTTGGTTTCCTCATGTGTAAAATGGGGAGACGACAGCACCTACCCTACTGGCGTAGCTGACGTGACTTGTTGGCATGAGGGTCGGAGACTCCCAAGTATTCACTAACCCAGAGCCTATGCCTCCCAGGCCCCCATACCTGGTCCTTACTGTTGTTCATAGGATTGGTCCATAGCACTCTCAGCCCCAGGTGGCTTTCTAGGGATGAAAAGAAGAATCCAGGGGATGTCAGAGGTTTCAGTGGATACAGTCCCTTCTGCTCTCTCTCTCTCTCTCTCTCTGTGTGTGCGTGTGTGTGTGTGTGTGTGTGTGTCCGTGTCCACAGTGGCTGGGGGTGCCACTGACCCTCCCAATCCCACTGCAGTGTGCCTTCCTCATGGCCTCCCTGAAGAACCATTCAAGAAAAGTACTGGGAAGTGCAGCCCTCCTGAAAGAAAAACCAAAGACACTTCAGCTAAGAAGTCAGCCCAAGAAGCTCTGCCCTCCCAGGCCCACTGCCCCCTTGGGGGCCAAAATGGTTTGACTCCCCTCCTAATAACACGCAGAAGATTCGGTTTCCTGTTTGTCTTCTGGTCTTTCCTGGGTCTTACAATGGCTGGGGCCAGCAGGGATGGGGTGGGCACTTCAGTGGTGAGTGTCCCGTGGGTGCCTCTTGCCCAGGCCTCCGGGAGAAAATCTCCCCCAGGGGGCCGGCTCCTCAGCTCTGGGGCTCCTCTGGCCTCCCCCACCCCACCCTTGGCTCTGCCAGCCTATCCCAGCCTTTTCCCTACCCTGATACTGAGGATGCCACAGAATTGACACCCACCTGTTTCATCTGATGGCTTATCCTGGAGGGCCTCTTGGAGGCAAAGGAATTAGGGTCTCTAAGGGCTCTTCCCACTGCCGCTCAAGACTTTACAGGGGCCAATAGGAGCCTGAGGGTGGGCTGCACCTGCTAGGGGTTTATCCCCATTCACAGCCTGTCAATTCTGTCCTCCATAAAATACCCACCCACCTTGGCAGTCAGAAGGGCTCTAGAGGAAAGACCTCAGAGGCACCTGTGCTTGTGAGCAGACTGGGAGGGACACCTGTGAGTCCCTCAGCATTGCATGACTCAGACCCTGTGAGTGCAGCCCATGTTCAGAATGTGGAAATCCATCCCAGACCGTAGGTAGCAGATTCCCAGTCAAAGGGCTGCCTTTCCAGGAGAGCCTATGCAGCCAGGCTCTGCCCTCGTTCGGGGAACTCCACCAGGTTTCAGGAGCCAGCTCAGGCACTTCACCCCCTCCTCAGCGGCTGCCTCTTGAGCCTCCAGTGCTTCCTGAGTGCCTCCTGAAACCAGGCCGGGTGCTCCCCAGAGAGTGACTTTTTAATGACCACCACACTCCAGTCGTGGCTGAGAATGAAGGAACTCTTCCCTTAAAACAGATGCCTGGGCCAGGCGCAGTGGCTCACACCTGTGATCCCAGCACTTTGGGAGGCTGAGGCAGGCAGATCACGAGGTCAAGAGATCGAGACCATCCTGGCCAACATGGTGAAACCCCCTCTCTACTAAAAATACAAAAATCAGCCAGGTGTGATGGCGGACACCTGTAATCCCAGCTACTCGGGAGGCTGAGGCAGGGAGAATTGCTTGAACCTGGGATGCAGAGCTTGCAGTGATCCGAGATCATGCTGCTGCACTCCAGCCTGGGTGACAGAGCCAGACTCCATCTTAAAAAAGAAAACAAACAAACAAAAAAAAAAAAAACTGAGGTGCCTGATAAGGCACAGAGGTTACCTAAATTTCTATTGTCATGCTGGAAGCCCAGACATCCCAGTCCATTAGGAAGAGGGGCAGGTAACTGATGAAGAAAGTTCTGACAAACCCCTATAGCTCTCTCACTAGCAGCTGTCTCACTCTCATCTCACACACATACACATGCATACATACACATATGCACATGCACACACATGCATATACACTCATACACACATGTATACACCCATACTTTTTCACCTCAAAACCCAGAGTCCCCTCTGAATCTGCTGCAGGAGAGGGGCCAAACCTATCTGAAGAGTCCCCTCCCTTAGGCTCCTCCCTACAAAAGTTCCTCATGGACAGATTGAGGTCAGGGTAACTGGGGCCCTGCCTGCCACAGGGAACACTCCTCTGATGGGAAAGACCACCTGTTTTCTAGAGCATTAAAGATGACCCTGACAGAGAGAAGAGCACCCTGCAGAAATCTCTGAAATGGCGTCCACTTAGTAGCAGAGCTGGCATCTTACCAGGTAAGGCACGACCATGGTCAGGCAGGGTGGAGGGATGTCATGGTCACGGCTGAGGCATGGGTTAATAATGATAGTAACTAAAGCCAGGTGTGGAAGTTCGTGCCTGTAATCCCAGCACTTTTGGAGGCTGAGGTGGAAGGATCACTTGAGGTCAGGAGTTCAAGCCTTGACAACATAGCAAGACTCCATCTCTACCAAGAAAAAAAAAAGCCAGATGTGGTGGTGCATGCCTGTAGTCCCCCCCAGCTACTCAGGAGGCTGAGGCGGGAGGATGGCTTGAGCCCAGAAGTTCGAGGCTGCAGTGAGCTATGATTGCACCACTGCACTCTAACCTCAGTGACAGAGCAAGACCCTGGCTCTACCTTTTTTTTTTTTTTTGAGACAGAGTCTCGCTCTGTCACCCAGGCTGGAGTGCAGTGGTGTGATCTCAGCTCACTGCAACCTCCACCTCCCGGGTTCAAGCAATTCTCATGCCTCAGCCTCCTGAGTAGCTGGGACTACAGGTGGGTGCCACCATGCCTGGCTAATTTTTTGTATTTTTAATAGAGACGGGGTTTCACCATGTTGCCCAGGCTGGTCTCCAAGTCCTGAGCTCAGGCAATTCATCTACCTCAGCCTCCCAAAGTGCTGAGATTACAGGGGTGAGCCACCACGCCTGGCCACATCTCTTAAAATAATAACATAATAGCAATAATGATAGTAACTAAAACGATCAATGATCCTGAGTGTTGATCATGTGCCAGCCCATCTGCTAAGATTGTCCCATTTAGAGCCTATAATGATCAGTCCTTTGCATCGGTACTCTATCAGCTTCCTATTGTACTGGCAAAGGAACTGAGGCTCAGGGGGCTAAGGATCATGTGCCACTAGCGGTAATAGGCCTTCACAATCTTTATGAAAGTATTCAGCTCATAGAACCTAAGACCATGTATTTTATTTCTGATGTCAAAGGTATGGCAGAGTGGCTCAGAGCAGAGTTCTGGAGTCAGCAGGACCAGGTAGAATCACTGCCCTGCTTCTTGCTGGTGGAGTCCCACTTACCTCATCTGTAAACTGGGGGACTGTGAGGATGAAGCGAGGCAGCATGCTCAAAGCACTTAGCACAATGCCAGGGAAGGATCTGGACTCGGTAAATGGTAGCTATAGCTATTTCTGATCCAAGCGAAGCCAGAGACCTGGGGTGGGGACACGGGGTGCCTTGAAGTCATCCTGGAGCCCCATTTCCTGGGGTGAGGTATAGCTGAACTTGAGTGTCTCTAAGCCAAGCTGGACAGATATATCGCAAGAATGCACACAGCTGCTCCAGCCAACAAGCCAAATGTTCTTCAGCTGCGGCCCAGCCAATGAAAGAAGGGATGATGGAACAGAGGAGGAAGACCAAGTCAAGGGAAGCAGAGACATCTCTTCCGCTGTTCTACACAGAGAAAGGGAATAATGTGGGTAAGTTAGAGGCTATGCAGGTGTCTGGACAGCCCCCTGGCCCTGGGGGAGCTGTAAGGGCAGCAGGTACCACGGGAAGGAACCCCTCCTGCTGTCCCAGGACCTGGGCACTGGTGCCTCTGCAGCAAGCCTGTCCTCAAGCAACTCAGTTCTCCCAGCCCCGGGAAATGGACATGCAAAATTTTGACAACAACCAGGGAATGAGAAAAGTCAATATTGAAGATGAGACCTCCTGAGATCCTCGGGCACTCCGACTCTGTCCACTAGGTGCAGTTTCCTTAGCTCTAAGGCAGATGGGAAGGGATGGAGATGATTCCCCTAGGCCAGCCTGATTGACTGCTGTGAAATGGTGCAGATCCCAAGAAGAATTCATTGCTAGGCGGGAGGTTCCCAAACAACCTTTCCCCATCCACCCAACAGCCTCCCTTTCTACCTCTCAGCAAATTGCACCAAGGACTTTTACAACTGACCTGATTGACAGAGAAATTGATGTGAAAAAGGGAGCAGGGGGAGGGAAGAGAGGTACACAGAGTGACCATCTTAGTCCATTTGTGCTGCTATAAAGGAATACCCAAGGCTAGGTAATTTATAAAGAAAACAGGTTTATTTAGCTCAGGGTTCTGCTGGCTGGAAGTTTGGGCATCTGGTGAGAGCCTCAGGCTGCTTCCACTCATGGCAGAAGGCACTGGGGAGCTGGCATGTGCAGAGATCACATGGAGAGAGAGGAAGCAAGAGAATGGGGAGGTACCAGGCTTTTATTTAACAGCCAGCATTTGCGGCAACTAATAGAGGGATAACTCACTCCCTCCCCACCCTCTCACCAGGGAGGGCACTGATCTATTCATGAAGGATCCGTTCCCATGACCCAAACACCTCCCATCAAGCCCCATCCCCAACACTGGGGATCACGTTTCATGAGGTTTCCAGGGGCTCAAACATCCAAACTATAGCAATGACCTTAATCTGCTTCTCCTAGGCTCAGTGTACAAGAAGTACCCTCAAGGAAGGGGCGTGAGAAGGATTAGCTCTTCTATTGACTTACCCACAAAGGATACAGTTTGCTCAAGCCAAGAGGTATTAAGTTGCTTGTACCAGCACATGCCCATTAAGCAATAGAGTAATTCCTTCCACCAGCCATTACTTCTAGGAGTGGGGGGATAATCAGAAATGAGAACAGGCCGGGCACAGTGACTCACACCTGCAATCCCAGCACTTTGGGAGGCCGAGGAGGGTGGATCACTTGAGGTCAAGAGTTTGAGACCACCTGGCCAACATGGTGAAACCTCTTCTCTACTAAAAATTTAAAAATTAGCCAGGTGCAGTGGCACGCCCTGTAGTCCCAGCTACTTGGGAGGCTACAGCATGAGAATGGCTTGAAACCGGGAGGTGGAGGTTGCAGTGAGCCGAGACTGCGCCACTGCACTCCAGCCTGGGTGACAGAGGAAAACTCTGTCTCAAAAATAAAAAAATTAAAAAAAGGACAAACCTGATAAGAACAATTCCTTACTGTGGCAGATGGGATAAGGGTTAAATAGACCTAAATTCAAAATCTAGTTCTGCTACTTCCTGCCTGGGTGACCTTGGGCAAGTCACCTAGCTACACTCAATCTCACTGCCTTTGTAAAATAAGGACAATTGTGCCTGTCAAGTAAGATTGATGTAGATTCATTAAAGTGAAATCAATGGAAATCCCCCATCTTGTGCCTAAGGGGATGGTCGTCCCACAACTATTCAATAAAAGCCTGAGCCTGGGTCTGATTGTGCCGATGGCGGATGCCATCCCTGGCTGCTTTGAGCCTGCCCATTGTTGTGTCCCTCGTGACAAGGAAACTGAGATTATCCTAATTGGATTAGAGTCTGAGTTTTCGACCAATCAGGGCTTTCCACTCAAATGTTGTGGGTGGGGTTGAAATGGATGTTGGGGAAGCAACAGTGTCCACTAGACTAGGGTCTGGAAGGTGCTCGATAGATTTTGTTGTTCACCCCCAATATTTCTTTTTTTTATTTTTTTTGAGACAGAGTTTCACTCTTGTTGCCCAGGCTGAAGTCCAGTAGCACTATCTTAGCTCACTGCAACCTCCACCTCCTGGGTTCAAACGATTCTCCTGCCTCAGCCTCCCAAGTAGCTGGGACTACAGGCATGCACCACCACACCTGGCTAACTTTTTGTATTTAGTAGAGATGGGGTTTCACCATGTTGGTCAGGCTGTTCTCAAACTCCTGACCTCAGGTGATCCACCCCTGTCAGCCTCCCAAAGTGCTGGGATTACAGGCGTGAGCCACTGCACTGAGCCTGCCCCCCATATTTCTTGTGCACTTCTCCCCCAAAGCCAGGGAAGGAATTTGCATGGGATGGATGCTCAGTGAGGACCTGGGAATCCCACATTTCAAACATCATACAGGTTTCAAACATGAGGTTCTCATAGATGAATCAGATGATCATTCAGTTGAGTCTGAATTGCCTAAGATAATAGTTCTTTCCTTTATTCTAAAGTGGATGGCAAAATATGGGCTCAAAAAATTGAAGCTGGAGATTTCCAGATGCATGGGTCCCAACTGCACTCATCAAAAGTCAGGACAGAGGTCAGCATCAGCCAAACACTGCAGCATCTTCCCCAGCGTTGAGATCCGTGTAAGTCACGATTTTCATCACCGTTTTTTTTTCTCTCCCAACTCAGCTGCAAATGGCAGAGAGCAGTGTAGGGCACTCTGGCCTCTATTTCTGCTTGTGGGCAACTGCCATCCTCCCCAAAATGAGACTCCCCTCACCAAATAGGAGATGCAAAATCCTGTTGGAAAAAAACTTCCCAGAGGGCCTCAGATCCCATTCCAGGGTTAGATGGGCTCATTGGAGTAAGAATTAGAAACAATTGCTGAGGCCAGGTGCGGTGACTCCTGCCTATAGTACCAAGTGCTTTGGGAGGCTGAGGTGGGAGGATTACTTGAACCCAAGAGTTTGAGACCAGCCTGGGCAACATAGCAAGACCCCATCTCTGGAAAAAAAATTAGATTAGCCAGGTGCAGCTGTGTACCTGTAGTCCCAGCTACTTGGGAGGCTGAGGCGGGAAGATTAGTTGAGTCATGGAGTTCAAGGCTGCAGTGAGCCGTGATCACGCCACTGCACTCCAGCCTGGGTCATGGAGCAGGAGCCTGTCTCTTAAAACATAAAAAGGAAAAGATAAGAAAAAGTAGCAATTGCTGAGAAGATTGGACCATGGCTAAAGTGTTCACCCATAAGAATGCTGTGTACCCCAATACTGATGACGGTTCTGTTATGGCAGCAAATAGGGGTTGTGATAGAAAGTGAAGGGTTCTCTTCTCTATTTTCTAATTTTGGGGTGATTTTTTATTGCTTTGACACTAGAATAAGTAAATCTAGTCAGAATGAAAATCAGATCATTTCTCTCCTTGCCCTTTTATCTTACATTATCAAGATTAGGGGAAACTAAAAATAGCCACAAAATTCAAAATTATTCACTAGAGGAACATAGGGTTATTCTAGTATGCTGCCCCTCTCCACCCGAAGTCATTATTTAGTTCAAAATTTATGAACTTCTTACCCCACCATTAAGAGTTTTCTATTTTAAAATTTAGAGATCATTGACCGGGCGCAGTGGCTCACCCCTGTAGTCCCAGCAATTTGGGAGGCCGAGGTGGGAGGATCACCTGAGGTCAGGAGTTCAAGACCACCCTGGCCAACACAGTGAAACCCCATCTCTAGTGTAAATACAAAAATTAGCCAGGCATGGTGCCGTGCACCTGTAGTCCCAGCTACTCAGGAGGCTGAGGCAGGAGAATCGCTTGAACCCGGGAGGTGGAGGCTGCAGTGAGCTGAGATCGCACCACTGCACTACAGCCTGGGCAACACAGTGAGACTCTGTCTCAAAAAAAAAATTAGGGATTATTATGATTTTTATTAATACAGCAACTGCATTTGCCAAAAACCAAAATCATCCTAATTCCCTACTCCTTTGTAGAACCATAAATCTACTAGTTTAATAAAAGAAAAAAGGCTTTAAACAAACAAACAAAAAACATATGCTTAACAGATGGTTGTTTTTTATGGGTTTTTGTTTGTTTGTTGAGACAGGATCTTGCCCTGTCATCCAGGCAGGAGTGCAGTGGTACAATTGCAGCTCACTGCAGCCTCTACCTCCCCAGGCTCAGGCAACCCTCCCACCTCAGCCTCCCCTAAGCAGCTGGGACCACAGGCACATGCCACCACACCTGCTAATTTTCTGTTTTTGGAAGAGATGAGGTCTCCCTATGTTGCCCAGGCTGGTCTTGATCTCCTGGGCTCAAGTGATCCTCCTGTCTCGGCCTCCCAAAGCACTGGGATTACAGGGATGAGCTACCATGCCCAGCCAACAAGTGTTTTGAGAATTGTTAACCATGATGGAACAAACAATTTTAGGGGGTGATGGGGATGTGAAGAAACAGCTGATGGGATGGATGCTTGCCTCCACTTACCTTAACCCAGGGAGTGGTGAGACACATTCAGTGGACGCCTGGGGAGATGGAGGTGTACATCAGGCACATGGAGAAGGTGTTAAGGCGCTATGTCCAGAGGCTGCAGTGGCTGCTGTCCGGTGAGCCTGCCCACTGCCCTGAAGGGTGGAGGAGCATGAGGGGATGTGGAGTGCTACCCCCAGGGACCCCAGTATCAGTCCTTCCAAAGCCAGGCCTTCGAGAACTGCAGATCAGAGGATTAGGCCAGGAACATCATCCAGGTACAACATGACACTGGGAGGCTGGGCGTGGTGGCTCATGCCTGTAATCTCTGCACTTTGGGAAGCCGAGGCAGGTGGATCACCAGTCAGTAGTTTGAAACCAGCCTGGCCAACATGATGAAAATATAAAAATACCCTACTAAAAATACAAAAAATTAGCCAGGCATGGTGGCGGGCACCTGTAATCCCAGCTACTTGGGAGGCTGAGGCAGGAGAATTGCGGAGGTTGCAGTGAGCTGAGATCGCACCACTGCACTCCAGCCTGGGCAACAAGAGTGAAACTCTGTCCAAAAAAAAAATGACAGTGGGTTCAGAGGACAGGCAAGGGGCTGGATAACAGGGAGGTAGAACATGGGCCCAAGAGCTCCAGCAGGAGCTCACACACGTCACAGCCTGCTCTGCAAGGCCACCTGCCACACCTTGCCATTCCTGCAAATGACAAGGAGTTCACTGTCAAAAGGTTTGCTTTAATATTGACTGGGCCCTAGCAAAACAACCATGGAGGTACAGATGGTAAGGGGAACTGACAGAGCAGAAACCCTCTGTTTTTTTATTATTATTACTATTTTATTTTAGAAACATGGTCTTGCTCTGTCACCTAGTCTGGAGTCCAGTGGTGCAGTCATGGCTCACTGCAGCCTCGAACTGGGCACAAACAATCCTCCCACCTCAGCCTTGCAAGGAGCTGAGACTACAGGCACGTGCCACCATGTCCAGCTTACTTTATTTATTTTTTTAAGATACAGAGTCTCGCTATGTTGCGCAGGCTGGCTCTGAACTCCTAGGCTCAAGCGATCCTCCTGCCTCGGCCTCCCAAAGTCCTGGGATTATAGGTGTAAGCCACCGTGGACCTCTTTTCAGAGAGTGCCAAGTCCCCTCCTGGAGAGGCAAATGGGTTGGGCTGTGGATTAAGAGATGGTCTGAAGCATCAAACCCAAGAAAGTGGGCAGACAGCTAGAACTGGACAGGAGGGGATTCAGGCTATGGGGCCTGGAGGGTTTCTGGGGCAATAGGAGGAGGGAGGAAGGGAGTCCTATATGGAGATCCTACAGGTGGCCTTGCATGTGCCACTCAGGGTCTATGTAAATTCATTAGGTCCAGTCCTCTGCAGTAGGACCTGGTATAGATGGTCCACAGACAGGGGCGTCATGATGACTGCTGCTCCAGGTACAGTTGTCATGTCAGAGGCTGAGCTGGGACAGAGAAGGCATGGGCCTCTCTCCACTCCGGGTTCACATTACCCCTGGGAATGGTGACTTAAAACCAGAGATCCAGCAATTTCTTTTGTAGTACAAGTCCCCCAGCTCACACACCAGTACACACCCAAACACTATCTAATATTTCAAAGCAATATCATGATACTGTTGAATCCAATCACTTAACTTTAAGGATGAGGAAACTCAAGCCCAGGAGGTTTAACCGCTTGTACAACTCATCACAGACAAAGCCAGAGCTGAAATCTTGATCTCCTAAAGCCCAAACCACTGACCAGGTCTGCCCTCGGACAATCGCCCCCTCCCACAGCACCACAAAGGCCGTCTCCCAGTGGGGTGACATCTGATCAATGATCAGGCAGGCAACAGGTGTCGCAAGACTTTATAGTTGATAGATACAATGAGGGAAACCACCCAGGAGGAGGGACCCCTCACCCCCTGCCTCTGCCCCACCTGTCTCGGAGCAGGGAGCCGCCGACTGTTTGGCACCGTTTTGGAGAGCAAAGTATGCATTTTGCTGGACACGTCAGGGTCCATGGGCCCCTACCTGCAGCAGGTGAAGACAGAGCTGGTTTTGCTGATTTGGGAACAGCTGAGGAAGCGCTGTGACAGGTAAGAGGCGAGGGCTGATCAGGAAGATCAAAGGGGCAGTTCCCGAGGCTTCCCTGGTCAAGCACGCCGTCTTCTCTCAGTGCCAGCAGGCCTGGAGTTTCTGAGATGCTCTTCTGAGTAACACATTTGAGTAGGAAAGAGCACTGTATTCCGCTCTGCTCTGAAGGAAAGCAGTTTTTAGAAGCTGGGTATGGTGGCTCATACCTGTAATCCCAGCAATTTTGGGGGCCAAGGCAAGAGGATCACTTGAGCTCAGGAGTTCAAGACCAGCCTCAGCAACAAAGTGACACCCCATCTCTACAATGCATTTAAAAATTAGCTGGGTATGGTGGTATGCACCTGTAGCCCCCACTACTTGGGAGGCTGAGGAAGGAGGATCACTTGAGCCCAGGAGGTTGAGGCCACAGTGAGCTATGATTGCACCAGTGCACTCCTGTGTGGGCAACAGAGTAAGACGTTGTCTCAAAAAAAAAAAAAAAAAAAAAAGAAGGAGCGCAATTTCAGGCCTAGAGACAATTGCAGGCACAGCAAAGGAACTACCATGTGGCCTTGATGTAGGGTTTTCAGCTGAACTTGATTTTTCAAATTATTTATTTAATTTTTAAAATTTTTGTGAACTTGATTTTTGAGTGGAGGAAGTTGTTTATTTTCCCTATCCGGAAGGGTTGACCCTAAGGGGACCCCAGGGGACTCTCATCTTAGACTAGGCCTCGTTCTTGCCTTAATCAGAGTACACATTTCTTGAGCACTTTCTGTGCACCAGATGCTTTACACGCATCATTGCATCAACTCTCACAATGAGCCCATGAGGCGTTGCTGTTATCAGCCCCCATTTTTCAGAAAAAGAAGCCAGGACTTTAAGAGGTTAAGACACGTGCTGAAGATTAGGTAACCAGTCACTGGCTGAGCTAGGATTGTTTGGGTTTTTTGTTTATTTGTTTGACACGGGGTCTCACTCTGTTGCGCAGGCTGGAGTGCAGTGGTGTGATCATAGCTCACTGCAGCCTCAGCGTCCTGGGCTCAAGTGATCTCACACCTCAGCCTCCCAAGTAGCTTGGACTATAGGCACACACCACCATGTCTGGCTAATTTTTTTTTAATTTTTTTGTAGAGATGGGGGTCTCACTATGTTGCCCAGGCCCGTCTTGAACTCCTGGCCTCAAGCAATCCTCCCAGCTTGGCCTTCCAAAGTACTGGGATTACAGGCACAAGTCACTGTGTCTGGCTTGAGCTGGGATTTAAATATATTTCTGTCTGCATCCAAATCGTCAGTATGTACCCTCTCATTCTCAAGAGGCCCCACAGCCCTCTCCCTGAGAGGCCATGGGGCTCATTGTAGGGGTCTTCAGTCTAGATAGGCCTATTCTAACCAATCTCTTTCTCCCCTTCTCTGCCCCTCACCTCCTCTTTTCCTCCTCCCCAGTTTTAACCTGCTCAGCTTTGCAGAGAGCCTTCAATTGTGGCAGGACACACTGGTGGAGACCACAGATGCAGCGTGCCATGAGGCTATGCAATGGGTGACCCACCTGCAAGCTCAGGGCAGCACTTCCATCTTGCAAGCATTGCTGGCAAGTCCCACCACGGAGCCCGACCTTGATGCAAAACAAATACCATCGTCCCCTGTGCTGACACTGCACGATGCTTTAGGATTTACAAAGGGCACTTTAGAATTGACAAAGCACTACATTTCATCTTCCCAGCACCCCAGTGAGAAAAGGATTCTCAATGTTCTCACGTTACAGACGAAGACACAGGCTGGGTGCGGTGGCTCACACCTGTAATCCCAGCACTTTGGGAGGGTAAGGCAGGTGGATCACCCGAGGTCAGGAGTTCGAGACCATCCTGACCAACATGGTGAAACCCCATCTCTACTAAATACAAAAGATTAGCTGGGCGTGGTGGCGCATGCCTGAAATCCCAACTACTTGGGAGGCTGAAGCAGGAGAATTGCTTGAACCCAGGAGGCAGAGGTTGCAGTGAGCCGAGATTGCACCATTGCACTCCAGCCTGGGCAACAAGAACGAAACTCCATCTCGAAAAAATAAAAATTAAAGAAAAATAGATGAAGACACAGAGGCTCAGAGATGTTAAGTGACTTGCTTGGGATTAACCAGCTAGGCAGCGAGCCATGCTCTTCCTCCTAAACCTCAGCAGCTTCCTTGGTCTGTCTGAGGCTGAAAGAGAATCTCTCAGTCTTTTTGAACAGGTCAGAGGCATCCAATCAGATGCATTTTGGCAGAGGCAGGCAGCAGCAGGCACCACCTTTAGGCATTTGGTTCTTGTCTTCCGGGTGAGCCTCTCCCCTGAGCCTGACAGCCGTCCTGTGTTCTTTCAGAAAGCTTTCAGTTTCCATGATCTGGAAGGACTGTACCTCCTGACCGACGGAAAGCCAGACACAAGCTGCAGCCTTGTCCTAAATGAAGTCCAAAGACTCAGAGAGAAAAGAGATGTGAAAGTGCACACCATTTCCTTGAACTGCTCAGACAGGTGGGTGATATGGAGCCACATATCTCAGCAGGGAGATCCAAGCTCCCCACCTAATCTACCCGCTCACTTAAACGCCGGTGTCTCCTGGGCCCTAATCCTGTAAATCAGATATTAGGAGAAGTGCCCGGGCGTGCTGGCTCACGCCTGTAATCCCAGCACTTTAGGAGGTTGAGGCAGGCGGATCACCTGAGGTCAGGAGTTCAAGACCAACCTGGCCAACATGGTGAAACCCTGTCTCTACTAAAAATACAAAAATTAGACAGGTGTGGTGGCGTGCACCTGTAATCCCAGCTACTCAGGAGACTGAGACGTGAGAATTGCTTGATCCAGGGAGTCAGAGGTTGCAGTCAGCCAAGGTTGCTCCATGGCACTCTAGCCTGGGCAACAGTAAGATTGTCAAAAAAAAAAAGAAAGAAAGAAATTAGGAGAAGCATTATTTTTCTAGAGGGCCCAAGCAGGTGTCACACCACAGGGTGAAAACCCCTCTCTTTTTTATTTTTATTTTTATTTTTATTTTTATTTTTTATTTTATTTTATTTATTTATTTTTTTTGAGACGGAGTCTCGTTCTGTCGCCCAGGCTGGAGTGCAGTGGCCAGATCTCAGCTCACTGCAAGCTGCGCCTCCCGGGTTCACGCCATTCTCCTGCCTCAGCCTCCTGAGTAGCTGCGACTACAGGGAAAACCCCTCTCTTTACTCAGACATTTCCCTCTGACTTCCTCCAGCCTGGAAACACATTTGCACGAGATTCACACAGTCATGTCACGGTCTCCCTCCTACTCTTCCCTGGGATCACATTTGTGAGTATTTAGGGGACATTTAGGGGAAAAGCTAGAAAGAAAAATATTAATGTAGCCTCGTCATGGTTATTTTTATAAACGATCACTATAGAACATGTGTTATGACTGGGCACCATGGCTCATGCCTATAATCCCTGTGCTTTGGGAGACTGAGGTGGGAGGATCACTTGAGGCCAGGAGTTCGAGACTAGCCTGGATATCATAGCAAGATTCTGTCTCTACAAAACAAAACAAAAATGTGAAAAAGAACACATGTCAGATAAGACTCAGCGCCTTCAAAAATCAAAACTTTACTATTAGCCGAACAGACTACATAGGGACATATTTTATCTCTTGGTCTAAACCATAAGCCCCATAAGTGTAATATGTGTCCTTTACAGGCCTAACACATAGTAGGCACTGGATAAGTGTCCCATAAAGAAATGGGGGCTAGGCTGGGCACAATGGCTCACACCTGTAATCCCAGCACTTTGGGAGGCCAAGGCAGGCAGATCACCTGAGGTCAGGAGTTCGAAACCAGCCTGGCCAACATGGCGAAACCCCGTCTCTACTAAAAAAATACAAAAATTAGCCTGGTGTGGTGGCCGGCACCTGTAGACCCAGCTACTCAGGAGGCTGAGGCAGGGGAATCGCTTGAACCCGGGAGGCGGAGGTTGCAGTGAGCCAAGATCATGCAAGATCACTCCAGTCTGCGTAACAGACTAAGACTCTGTCTCAAAAAAGAAAAGAAGAAATGGGGGCTGGAGTGTGTGGGCTGTGTGGTTTGAGGGGGTCCAGGCTAAATGGCATCACTCACATGGGGAACACGGGGACTTCTCTTCCCTCAAGCAGCAGCAGTTGCTATAGCTGTCCATAAACTGGTGGGGAAAGTGTCCTTTGGTGTTCTAATGGTGGTCTCCATGGCACAAGCCACCACCCATTGCCAGGCTGATTTCTCTTAAGCCCCACAGACTTAAGTTCCCCATGGACCTGGGGAGTCACACCAACTAGGCTGGTCAGTCAGCCTCCCCACCAGCCCTCTGTCCCTTCCTTCCAGAGCGGCGGTTGAGTTCCTGAGAAAGCTGGCTTCCTTCACCGGCGGACGCTATCACTGCCCTGTGGGTGAGGACACACTCTCCAAAATGTGCGGCCTGCTGACGAAAGGCTTCATCAATGAAAACGTAAGTTGCAGAGCCACTGAACATGAGGTCTGTTGAAACAGCTCAATAAAATATCAACAGGCATGGGTTTTCCTTCTTGAACTCCTGGGCTCAAGTGATCCTCCCACCTTGGCCTCCCAAAGTGTTAGGATTACAGGCATGAGCCACCACGCCTGTCCTGGGTTTTCCTTCTGACTAAAAAGATCTCTGCTTTTCATTGAAACAAAATATTAACTAAAAAGGATTGGGTTTCCCTGCCACTGTCCTTTTAGGCTGACTCTCCTCAAGACTGGGAAAGAAGCAGGATTTGAGGGTGTTGTTATATTTTCTGATGATCAGACCAGTTTGCCTGTGTTGGAAATTTATGTGGCTTTATGTAGATTACCTCTTTTAATATTATACCCATTAAACAGATGAACAGCAGGCCCAGCGAGGTTTAAGAATACACCTAAAGCTGGGCATGGTGGCGCACACCTGTAATCTCAGCACTTTGGGAGGCCGAGGTGGGTGGATCACTTGAGGTCAGGAGTTTGAGACCAGCCTGGCCAACATGGTGAAATGACGTCTCTACTGAAAATACAAAAATTAGCCAGGCATGGTGGTGTGCACCTGTAATCCCAGTTACTCGAGAGGCTGAGGCAGAATTGCTTGAACCTGGAAGACAGAGGTTGCAGTGAGCCGAGACTGCACCACTGCACTCCAGCCTGAGTGACAGAGCAAGACTCCGTCTCAAAACAAACAACCACCAAAAAAACTAAAGTCAGAGGAAGTGGTATAGCTAGAGCCCCAAGACACCCACGATCTTAACCTTTGTGCTTTAATTCCTGCATATTTGTGTCTTCTGGGGTTCAATTCATTGAAACACAGACATTCAAGTTATCTGTTAAGCAATAGATCTAGCAAAGTCATAGGTTATCTATGAAGTAATAAATCTAGTAAAGTCATAGATTTCAATGATCTACTTCTGACTTAATAGGAAAATTCTGCACATATTTATACCTTTTAGGAATGCAATGTTGCCAGTGATAACATTCCCAGGGCAACAAATTATCAAGTAAGATAACCAATCAGAATTCCAGATTTCTTTTCAGAGGTTAAAGGTTACTTTCACAGGACATGGCATAATTTTTTTTTTTTTTTTTTTTGAGACAGGGTCTCATTTCGTTGCCCAGGCTAAAGTGCAGTGGCGCAATCACAGCTCAGTACAGCCTCCACATCCTGAACTCAGGCAATCTTTCCACCTCAGCCTCCAGAGTAGCTGGGATCACAGGTGCACCACCACGCCTAGCTAATTTCTTCAATGTTTTATAGAAACAGGATCTCACCATGTTGCCTAGGCTGATCTCAAACTCCTAGGATTAAGTAATCTTCCTGCCTAAGCTTCCCAAAGTGTTGGGATTACAGGCATGAACCATCAGGCTCAGCTGGCATAATCTTTGAAGTCTGGGTAGCCTTACATGACTCCTTCTTTCAATCAACTAGCTCTTCTAGGGACAAGTATCATAAATAATACAGAGAACAGAACAAATTGGTAAAAGTAATGAATATTCACCCAAGTGTCCTTATTACACAGGAAAACAAGTGATGATATGTTTAAGGCTCTCAGCTTAATACCTTATCAAATCAGATTCTCTGAATTGTTTTTTCATGCAGACTAGGATTGCTATGCTACTCAGGCAGAAGGGATGGTTTCCTCTCTTTCTTAGGGCTTATGAACTGTGAGACATGTAGTTTTTTTCTTTTTTTGTTTTTTGTTTTTTTGAGACGAAGTCTTACTGTGTCACCAGGCTGGAGTGCAGTGGTGCAATCTCAGCTCACTTCAGCCTCTGCCTCCTGGGTTCAAGTGATTCTCGTGTCTCAGCCTCCTGAGTAGCTAGGATTGCAGGTGCCTGCCACCACACCCAGCTAATTTTTATATTTTTACTGGAGATGAGGTTTCATCATATTGGCCAGGCTGGTCTCAAACTCCTGACCTCAAGTGATCTGCCCACCTCAGCCACCCAAAGTGCTAGGATTGGTAAGATGTATTTTTAAGGCTAGGTGGTGAAATTTTATTAGTTAACATTTTTTTAAAAAGCATGCCTCAGCCAGGTGTGGTAGCAGATGCCTGTGGTCCTAGCTACTTGGGAGGTTGAAGTGGGAGGATAGCGTGAGCCCAGGAGTTTGAGGCTACAGTGAGCCATGATCATGCCACTGCCCTCCAGCCAGGACAGCAGAGCAAGGCTCTGTCTAAAATCAACCAAATAAAAAGCATACCTGTGAATCTATTTTACTAGAAGAAATGCAAAAAATGACTGAACAGATTTTACTGAATAGCAGTGAGATAAGGAACCTGTGCCATTTCTGTTCCACTGGCCCAGAGTGGGGGCACCTTCACTCAGTTTCTGACACTATCTTGCTTTGCCACAGTCCCCTCCCTACACTGACTCTCACACACCATATTTCAAAGTGTCCCCTTTGCAGAATGACTGTCTTGATAGGTAGTGAGCTTCCTGTCCCTGGAGATATACAAGCAGAGGCTCACAAGATTTCCTGCACTGGATGGAAGCCAGACGTGATTAGCTCTAAAATGTTTTTTCTGAGATTTTGGATTTTCAGCTCCCATCTATTTAATGGATCAAACTTCACACTCACTTCCCCTTTTCAAGGATCCCACGCTTCCACCATTTGAAGGAGATGATTTAAGGAGGCTGGCCCAGGAGATCACCAAGGCCAGAAGCTTCCTCTGGCAGGCCCAGTCCTTCAGGTATGCCCTTCACGCAGCCTTTCCCGCCTGCCATTTGGCTACAGCCCATGGAAACCCCGGACCCCATCTAGAAGGGCCGCACCCATTATGGTACCCTTGCTCCAAGGGTTCCTGCCCTGCTTCTCCCAGCCAGCCCAGAAATCTGGGCACCAGGGAGACCATCTTTCTTCATCTCGTGCCCACCAGATCCCAGCTCCAGAAGAAAAATGATGGAGAACCAAAGGTCACTCTTTCCTAGAGAAGTGTTCTCAGGTAAGGGGAGGGGCTAGACCCCACACTGCCTGAGTGTGCACTAAGCACCAAGTGGCATGCTCTATTTTGTGGTCAATAACAACTCTGGTTAAAAAATAATGATTCCTCTAAACAGAAATGTCATCCTGCAAAGGACCACTTACTGAGCAAATCCCAGCCCAGAGGGCAGGATGGGGTGGAATGCTGTGACCCGCAGGGAACATGATTCCTGGTACCAGGACTCCCTGGAAGCTGAGGATGGAAAGGCTCTGTCTTGTGTGTGAGGGGCCATTCCTGGGTCTAATCTAACTCTCAGGCCCTGTCCCGCAGTGCACCCTACTCTCCAGCCACTAGACTGTCCCTCGCTGGGAAGCCCTAAACCAACCCCCTGCCTGAATGGTGCTTCTTGCCTCCTCTGCCTGGAGACTCCTGCTCACCCATCAAGGCACAGCTCAAATGACATCAGCTCCCTGGGACCCATCTAGAGCCAGGGGGCTCCAGTCTTTCTCTGGCAGCATCCTGACCACACAAAACTCTCGCACTCAGCACTCCATGTCACGCCACCTTCCTCGCTGATCTAGCTCTTCTCCTTGACCGTGAGTTCCCTTGGGATGAGACTGCTGTTCCAGGATCTGCAGGTCCCCAGAAGCTGCCACATGGGAGACACATGGTGAACAGTGAGCAGGCGGCTGAGCTGCGGGAGCCTAGCTCTGGAAAGCAGCTGATGGGGTGGTCTCCACCCTGCTCCATCACAGGCTAATGCAGAGTCACAGTCAGCCCATCCTGGAGGAAGAAGAAACCAGTGAGCCTCACCACCACCCTCCATCCCTGCCCAACCAAACTGAAGTGAAGGCTGCTCATCCAGGGTCATTTTCCAAAATTAAAAACAATTACTTTTATTCCACTAGTAGGAGCAACATGACTTTAACTGTTTGAAATGATCATTGGCGTGTGTGTGTGTTTGTCAGTTTTTAGTGACATAAAACTTTATTAAAAGACTCATACCATACTATATAAAGGATTTCAATAAGAAAAAGAAAAAATTCCAATTTTTTTTTTTTTTTTTAACAGAGTCTCGCTCTGTTGCCCAGGCTGGAGTGCAGTGGCACAATCTCGGCTCACTGCAACCTCCGCCTCCCAGGTTCAAGCGATTCTCCTGCCTCAGCCTCCTGAGCAACTGGAACTACAGGGGCCTGCCACCATGCCTGGCTAATTTTTGTATTTTTAGTAGAGACAGGGTTTCACTATGTTGGCCAGGCTGGTCTTGAACTCCTGACCTCAGGGGATCTGCCTGCCTTGGCCTCCCAAAGTGCTGGGATTACAGGGATAAGTCACCATGCCTAGCCCATCCCAATTTAATTTTTTTTTTTTTTTAAGTAGATAGAGTCTCACTCTCTTTGCCCAGGCTGGAGTGCAGTGGCACAATCTCGGCTCACTGCAACCTCCACCTCCCGGGTTCAAGCGATTCTCCTGCCTCAGCCTCCCAAGTAGAGTAGCTGGAATTACAAGCGCCTGCCACCACGCCCAGCTATTTTTCTTTTTATTTTTAGTGGAGACGGGGTTTCACCATGTTGGCCAGGCTGGTCTCAAATTCCTGACCTCAGGTGATCCACCCACCTTGGCCTCCCAAAGTGCTGGGATTACAGGCATGAGTCACCACGCCCGGCCCATCCAATTTTTAAAATGGACAATAGGTACATGAAAAGGTGCTCAACAGCCTTACCTGCCAGGGAAATGTAAATTAAAACCACAGTGAGATGCCACTACATCCCACTAGAATGACTAAAATCAAAAAGACTGGGGCTGGGCACAGCGGCTCATGCCTCTAATCTCAACACTTTGCGAGGCTGAGATGGGAGAACTGCTTGATGCCAAGGGTTCAACACCAGCCTGGGCAACATAGCAAGACCCCATGTCTCCAAAAATTTAAAACAAATTAGCCAGGAATGGTGGACCAATGCATGCAGTTTTAGCTACTCAGGAGGCTGAGGCATGAGGATCAGTTAAGCCCAGGAGTTTGAGACTGTAGTGAGCTGTGATTGTGCCATTGCACTCCAGCCTGGGCAACAGAGTAAGACCCTGTCTCTTAAAAACAAAAACAAACAAACAAAAAACAAGATGGCCAGGCGTGGTGGCTCACATCTGTAATCCCAGCACTTTGGGAGGCCGAGGTGGGCAGATCACATGAAGTCAGGAGTTTGAGACCAGCATGGCCAACATAGTGAAACCCCATCTCTACTAAAAACACAAAAATGAGCTGGGCATGGTGGTGCACACCTGTAATTCCAGCTACTCAGGAGACTGAGACACGAGAATCACTTGAATCTGGGAAGTAGAGGTTGCAATGAGCTGAGACTGGGCCACTGCACTCCAGCCTGGGCAACAGAATGAGACCCTGTCTCTAAAAACAAAACAAAACAAAACAAAGAACTACAATATCAAGATGTGGAACAGTTGGAACGCTGATATTCCAGTTAGGGTAGGGGTTGGGGTAGGGACGTGTAATTTAACTCAATAACTTTGGAAGACTATTTGGCAATTTCTACTAAAGTAAAACATATGCCTGCTCTATGATCTAGTAATTCCACTCCAAGGGTAATGAGTGCATATGTTAGACAAAAGACATATAAGGATTTTTCCAGCAGCCTTATTCATTAGAGCTCAAAACTGGAAACTACCCAATGTCCATCAGATTAATGTGCAAATAAAATCTGATACATTTTACAGTGAAATACTATGCATCGATTTAAAAAGAATGAATAGTTGACATGGTGGCTCACACCTGAAATCCCAGCACTTTGGGAGACCAAGGCAGGTAGATGACTTGAGCCCAGGAGTTTGAGACTAGCCTAGGTAACATGGTGAGAACCCATCCTACAAAAAATACAAAAATTAGCCAGGCTTGGAAGCACATGCCTGTAGTGCCAGCTACTCAGGAGGCTGAGGTGCAAGGATCACCTGAGCCCAGGAGAGGTTGAGGCTGCAGTGAGCCTTGATCATGCCACTACACTCCAGCCTGGGCAATAGAGTGAAACCCTGCCTGCACCCCCAAAAAAGAATGATCTATACAGCTATATTCAACAAGATGCATCAGTCTCATAATATTGGGCAAAAGAAACCAGACACAAAAGAGTACATACTGTATAATGTCATTTATATGAAGTTCAAGAACCAAGCAAATTCCTTATTGGTGACTGAAGTCAAAATAGTAGTTACCCTGTGGGATGAGGAACACAAAGGGGACATCTGGCATGATGAAAATATTATATATCTTGATCAAGGTAGGAGTTACATTGAAGTATACATAAGTAAAAATTCATCAAGTTGTTTAAAAACACTCAGTTGTGGCCAGGTGTGGTGGTTCATGCCTGTAATCCCAGCACTTAGGGAGACCAAGGCAGGCAGATGGCTCAAGGCCAGGAGTTCGAGACCAGCCTGGGCAACATGGAGAAACCCTGTCTCTACCAAAAATACAAAAATTAGCCAGGCGTGGTGGTGGACACCTGTAATCCCAGCTACTCGGAGGCTGAGTCAGGAGAATCACTTGAACCCGGGAGGTGGAGGTTGTAGTGAGCTGAGATCGTGCCACTGCACTCCAGCCTGGCGACAGAGACTGTCTCAAAAACAAAAAACAAAAAACAAAACAAAAAAAAATGAAACTCACTTGCTAAGGCTTGATGAGACCCTCCTTTGGCCAGATTCTGTGCTGGGTCCAGGAAGGCAGTGGTGACCACAGCCCCTGCCGTGGTTATTCTCAGTCTGATCCATCTTGCACAGCTGCCATTTTGGGTCACCTCTGTAAATACAGAGAAAAGGGCCTGTGGTGGTTGTATTCATTTGCTAGAGCTGTCATAACAAAGTACCACAAATTGAGTGGATGAAACAACAGAAATTTATTGTCTTATTGTTCTGGAAGCTGGAAGTTCAAGATTAAGGTGCCCTCAGGGCCATGCTCCCTCTGAAGACACTGGGAAGGATCCATTCCAGACTTCTCCATTCTGGTAGTTCCTTGGCTTTGGGCAGCGTAACTCCAGTCCTCACATGAAATTCTCCCTATGTGCATGTCTCTGTCCAAATTTCCCCCATTTATAAGAACACTAGTCATACTGGAGTAGGGGCCCACCTTATTCCACTATGACCTTAACTCATTACATCTGCAATGACTCTCTTTGCAGAGTTAGGGTTAAGTACATGGGATTGGGACTTCCACATATGAATTTTGTGAAGAACACAATTCAACCCATCACAGATATAAGTTATGCTTCTCTTTGCAGGACAATATCAGCAGCTGGTACCGGGGAATGTGAGTTCTCTGACCCTGTTGGTGGGAGAAGAGGCTGGCCTTTATGAATTTAAGGTTGGACCAGACACATGGCTTATGAAGTGGGGAAGGACAGGACCTAGGTTCAAATCCCAACTTCGCATGTAATGAGAAGAACAGCTACTATTGTTTGCGCACTAATTGAGCCAGCACCATGCTCAACATTTTGCATAAAGCATGTTAGTCATAAACCTCACAGCATCGCAACTATTAAGTGCACATCATTGGCAGTTTACAGATTAGGAAACTGAGCCTCGTAGGTGCTCAAAGACACACAGCAAGAAAGTGGCAAAGCCAAGATTTAAATCCAGTACAGACCCCGTGGCTTTTCCCCACCACATTTGGAGCCCCTTTTCTGAACCTGTTTCCCTGTCTCTAAAATTGAGCTAAAACAGAGTTGTGAGGATTAAGCAAGATCTCTTACCATCTGGCTCATACAACATGCAGACTAAGATTTTGTTTTTCTCTTCCCCACACCTATGCCCACAAAGGGCGTTGTATGGGTGGAGGCTTTTTCAGTTGCCCTTTTCAGAGCAAAGTGACCAGCCCTTGCTGCTCTCAGCCCCTGTGGCTCCATTACAGCAGTTGTGAGCTCTTGGGCACATGCCTGACCCTCTAATACCACCACTTGAACATGAGTTTTCTTTTACTGAGACAGGATCTCACTCCATTGCCCGAGCTTTCCAGCAGTGAGATTGCAGTGGCACAATCACAGCCCACATAGCCTCCACCTCCCGGGCTCAGGTGATCCTCCTGCCTCAGCCTCCCAAGTAGCTGGGACTACAGGCACATACCACTATGCCTGGCTAATTTTTTTGTATTTTTTCATAGAGATGGGCTCTCACTATGTTGCCCAGGCTGGTCTCAAACTCCTAGGCTCAAGTGATCTGCCCACCCCAGCCTCCCAAAGTGCTGGGATTACAGGCATGAGCCACACCCAGCTGAACACGAGTTTTCAAAGGGTGATAGTATCCAGCACTGAAGAAGCATCCCTCAAAAGTAGAGTGATGTGATTGATGCATAAATCAACAGAGATCAGTGGAAGATTGCAAGACAGGAAGAGTAGATAGATGGGTAGAAGGAAGGAAAGAAAGATATATGGGATGAATTAGATGGGTGGAAGGTTGGATGGATGGAAGTTTGGATGGATAGGTGGAAGGATAGATGACGGATGGAAGGTTGGATGGACGGGTGGAAGATGGATGGATGAAAGCCATATGGACGGTGGAAATACAGATAGATGGAAAGCTGGATGGACAGGTAGAAGTACAGATGGATGAAAGGTTGGATGGATAAGTGGAGGATGGACAGATGGAAGTTTGGATGGGCAAGTGGAAGATGGATGATGGAAAGTTGGATGGATGGGTGGAAGGATGTATGGATAGGTGGAAGGATGGATGGATGGAAGGTTGGATGGATAGGTGGAAGGATGGATGGATAGGTAGAAGGATAGATGGATGGAAGGTTGGATGGATAAGTGGAAGGATGGATGGATAGGTGGAAGGATGGATGGATGGAAAGTTTGATGGATAAGTGGAAGGATGGATGGATAGGTGGAAGGATGAGTGGATGGAAGGTTGGATGGATGGGTGGAAGGATGGTCTGGATAGGTAGAAGGATAGATGGATGGAAGGTTGGATGGATAAGTGGAAGGATGGATGGATGGAGTGGAAGGATGGATGGTTCAGAAGGTTGGATGGATAAGTGGAAGGATGGA